TATGTGGTATAGATGTAAGAGTTGGACCAGATTTCTTCACACATGGATTTGGGTGTGGGAAAAACATCAGTCCACTTACTGCACTTGCTACCTTCAGGACATTTGTTGATACCTGTGACAGAATTGAATGCATTTGATAAATTTTAATAGTGTTGTTTCTGCATAGATGTAAATGTAAAAGCAACAACAACAAAAAATCTCTGTGTGAAAATGTTTTTGCAAAACTGGGAATATGCTTGCTGTGGTTTATAAGAGAAATGCAAGCGCAAACATGCATGCCTGCTTTGCTTTTCCAAGTGTGGGCCCCACCTGAGCTCCAGTCCCATCCCTTGTGCCAGTTAGTTTTGCAGGTGAAATCATTCTTGCAGTCTTCCCACCAGGTTTCACAGTCCTCCTTACATAAAGGCACATCTAAGATGCGCTCCTTACGCCAGCTCTGATCCACCTACACAAATGCACACCATTGGCTGATTAGTATAATCAGTGATGAACTAAATAAGCCCCTTTCCGTCATAGTTCTAACTACTGCGTGTGTGTGTATATATATATATATATATATATTCTGTTTGAACAACAGACCATTTCTGTCCTTTCAACTTCCTGTGCTGCCATCTAGTGACAAAAATATAGACAAACATTAGACACTCAAATGCACACGTGGATGAGAATACTCACTGGTTGTATCCAGGGTCCCAAGTGTGGTGAGCACTCATAAAAACAAGTGTCCTGGATGAAATGTTTTTTGCACTCCTTGCTCATAGTACCACAGTGATTCCAGTTGAAGTTGTAGAGATAGGAGGCATCGTCATGGGCTTCTGCAGAGGTGTTGGCTGTGCAGCATGCATTATCTCGCCATGGAGAGCACTGGAAAAAGGAAACCAGAATCACTTTATGGATTTAGAACTAAAAAAATGTTTTTTCCACCAAGCTCCTTGGGGTTTAAATCAAGACAAGAAGGGAAACGTTAGCGACAGTGCTATGTTTGCAATTATCACCTGCTGGTACAGTTGTCCCTCAGGGCCAGGCTCTGTTTTGTGATGTTTTGCATCCATACACATGTTCAGTTTGTCCAGAGACATGGCTCCACCAGAGAGGGCAAGCAGCAAGGCCAGGACGGACCACATGACTGTAGGGGAGGGAAGCATCAACAGCAGGTTGTGGGAAAAATCTTAATACTGCTTATAAAGAGGCCAATAATGGGAAGAAGGAAATAGTATGGGATAGCAGCCAACTCCCTGTGACCTCTAACCCGAGTCTGACGAACAGCATTTTACTGACCTTAGTTAATTTTCTACCATCAGCAGGCAGGTGTCTGGATTGTTTGGTCATAGGTACTAATTTAATATTTTAACAGTATTTACAGTATTTAACAGCCCTGGTGTAGATCTCTTTCAGTAACAGACCTAGTGACAAAGTTTAGAGTTTATGGTAATCCGGACAGTCCTTGTTTTTGCTTTTTTTGTAAGAAGACAACCTGAATTCTCTAAAGCTATAGAACTCCAAACTGGACAAAAAAATTACAAGGAAGAACAGCTAAGCAAAGCTGATTGATGTGGTGATGACTTAATAAGGGCTGGGTATCCATTTCAAGTCCCGATTCGATTAGATCCCCGATTCCATTCAATTCGATTCAATTTTGACTCAGACAGTGAGAAATATCATAATTGTCATCATTTATCAGTACATATCCATATTTTTATATCTATGTATAAAAACAAAGCTGAAACTTGTGAGACTTTACCAGAGGTGTAAGCATCACAGGAGATGCCTCTGTGTAAGTGGGGATAAAACTTGGAAAAACATGAAGGAGATTTTCTTGGCCTGGCTTTTTATAGCAGATAACCTTTAAAAATATTCTGCAGTAGGCAAAAGAGAAGAAAACCATGAATCAGCAGATGAACATTAAACTTCTTAAAATTATGCCGAATTGCAAAACGCTCTCTAATAAAACCTCTGTAACTTTGCTTTGCTTTGTTCAGCATCAGGTAAATTTCTTTATTGAACAGCAGAAATTAGGTTTTCTTGTCGGTGGTCATTTAAAAAAAAAAACCCCCCAAAAAACCAAAAACCAAAACAAACAAAAAGCGGCTGACAGCACTGAACACAACGGTAGACTGGTGCATAATAAGCAAGCGAATAATGCAGAAAACAGAGATATTTCATGGTCTCTTGAGTACACTGAGAAAGAGCTGTGCAGGAAGTTTGATTTTATCGTGGTGGAAGCAAAAGAGCAAAAGTAAGAGGGAATTCATGACGATGTTTATCAAACGTGAAGCATAGTTTTGATCTTCTTTTGCAGCTGGTTCAGTGAATTGTGGCCAGAGAGTAATGAAACCTCCAGCTTCATAATCTTTCAGATGTCGGTTTTCAGCACCGACGGCACACACTTGAACACGATCCACGCTTTGTGTTCACTTCTTTTTGTGGAATCCGTTTACCTGCACTTTGTGAACTTTTTATCCAGAAAGGTGCTATATAAATAAAATTTTACTTACTTTCTTTTACTTACTCTGTCCCACGTGTGATTTTTCTCTCTGCTAATCTGACTTTTGGGTTCTTTTAAATACTAAATATAAGACATGAGAAAGCTTTACCCACAATACCGCAACAAATAAAGTGTGGCTCCTGAATGCAGCATAAATGGAAAAGGACACAATGTAAGCTATAAAGTGAACTCTGTCAGAGAGCAAATGTGTCTCTACACCTTTTTGCGTTTAAAAGACAAACATTAAAAAACATGAAAGATAAACTCGTCAATGATTTTGTAAAGCTCTAATCATCATATATAGATAAAGTAATCCATATGCATGTAAATAGAAGTAGCTGTGTATTATCGTATAGTTTAGAAACACAAAGTAGATGCAGCTGTGGTGAAAATTCATTTAGAGACAAAGTAATAATGAACAAATTCCCTTTACCTTTGGATTTGGTGATGACTCCTTCTTGAAGGGATGATCCTACAAAGCTGTATCTGCAGATGCCCTTTAACACACTTCTCAAGACCAAACAAGAATTTCCAAACACAGATTTGTGCCCGACTGCGTGTTTGTGTGTGTGCACGCGTCTGACTGTGTGGGTAGAGTGTGAGCGAATGAATGTGAAAACTTGCTGTGCTTTTGACTAATTAGTTTTCAAAGTCCAAAGTCCATATGAAGTGTGCATGTGCATGTGGACCACCATGTAAGACATTCCTCTCCACTGCCATCATAAACACCAAGGGCGGGACTATCTCATAGAAGAGTGATATTGCATCTGGTCAGATAACTGTAGAACCAGTGCCAGGCTATCTATAAGCTACTTTAACACTCTTGATGTCAGATTTTTCTTTAATTTGTTACCAGTCAGCAGTTCCTGTGAGCATGTGATTTTCCAGTTTTATAACATCTGGCCATGAAGAATATCAGTCTTATCTCAAGGTTTAACCTGCTCACCACCACCCTCTCTTACAGACATACAGACGCACGCACGCACGCACGCACGCACGCACACACACACACACACACACACACACACACACACAAGCTGTTGTGACAGGGCAGCGTGACCTGGGATGACAATAAGAAGATCAAAAGGATTGTGAGTAAGTACTTTTTGTGCTCTCACCATGACAAAGATAAAAGAAACTTTACATACGCACTCAAGAGAGTAATTTCTTTGCATGTGCATGAATGTGCTTATACTTGAGGTTAACGCTCTGAACCTACTGATAAGAATGTTCAACTTCAGCAGCATTTACAGAAACCAGCCGTGAACTACGACAATAAATTCTGTTATCTCAGCAGCTTCCTATAGTTTGAAAGAGTGTTTGTGTTATGGGTTGCTTAAAGCTGATATACACTAATCACATAATACACAATACTACTGCTACTACTACTAATAATAATAATATATGGCAGATGCTACTCTTCCAGACAGATACAGTACTGTGCAAAAGTCTTTACTCACCTCTCATTTTACTCACTACTTTTTTTCAGTCACTTTGTTACCAGCAACATGCTACAAAAATGCATTATTTATTCCCATTTATTCAGTCGAATCTATTTGACTGGGACAAAGTAATATTTTTGCACAAGGAAGATAATTCATCTTTGAGCTATTCGCTGAAAACGTGGCATATCTCAGCTTGGTGTGCAAAAAGTCTGAGACAGGACTTGAGAGATGGTTCAATTGATCCATCTACTGTTCATCAAAGCTTCATCAGAAATGGTCTTAGTGGTGGCTGTCGAGAAACCATTCTTAAAGAAAAGCAACAGGGAGAAAAGACAAATTGCACAAGCACCGGACTGAAAACCAGTGGAAACAGGTCTGATGGAGTGATGAATTCAAATTTGAAATTTTTAGTTTAAATCACCATTTGTACACAAGACTGCTAGAGAAGGTGCTCGGTGCTCCTCCCACTAAGTGGTGCAGAGGGTGGTACTCCATGATGGATTACAGCTTGTTCAGTGACCTTCTCTCCACCGCAGCTTCAAATGTGTCCAGTTTGCAGGCATTCAAAGAGCAAATCTTTCTAATCTGTTCTTTTCTAATCTAGTTTGCTGGTGTCACCAACAGTTACTATTGGAGGGCACTGGGTGTGACCAGTTCCTGAGTGACTGAAAGTCTCCATCATTTTACTGTATAGGCTGAGGGATCTCTTTATCCTCTTTTTATATGCAGCTTCTGTGTTGGTCTTCCAGTTTAACCTGTTGTTGATGATGATGATGACATCCCAGTTCTCCTTCAGCTTGTCAACACCATGTCATAAAATTAAATAAAATAAAGACAAATAACATGTTTTATTGCATATACCGATCATTAAAATAAAAAGAATGGTAAATGGCCTGTATTTGTATTGCGCTTTTCTAGTCCCTAAGGACCCCAAAGCGCTTTACACAACCTGTCATCCACCCATTCACACACATTAATATCGCCGTGACACGTTTTAGTTAAAGCTCATTAGTGTTTCTACTTTATTTAGAACCTCTCGTGCCACAGACGTGGCTCATGCTCCGAAAAGGGAACCTTTATGGAGAGCCGCTGGAGAAAGGAGGACTCTTTATGGGTGAACACCAGCAGTTTCCGGTAAAATTTGTTTTGAATTTTTGTCGAGCCACTGACAGGGACTCAGACTGTGGATTTCGGGTAAGGTTAAGCACGAAGTAATTTTATTGTTTGATTATATCACATCATTTTCAATCCACAATATCAGGGGAGTGTTAGATTTTAGAGTCTGTGAGTCTTAAACTGGAGGACTTTTAAATCGACCGTTAATGACGTATTAGCTGTTCCTCTGTCGTTTGTTGTCTTAACGCAAACTCCGGCTTCTGTTTTATGGAATTCATTTCTGTGGTGTGACAGAAATGTCCACGCTGTTTCCGTCGTTGCTGCCCCGGATAACGGAGTCTCTGTGGTTTAATCTGGACCGACCGTGTGTGGATGAGACCGAGCTGCACCAGCAAGAGCAGCAGCACCAGACCTGGGTAAAGGCTCCCCAGAGCAATTATAGACTTGTATTTTCCATCTTTATGCTATTTTGTTGCTTCCATTTAACTTACGATGAGTTTATATACCCTGCGCGTGTTAGTTTATAAGTTATTAGTTTGAGTATTTGCGAAAGGCTAAAAGTCATATAGAAGTCCTGTAGTCTGCTATAATTACTGGTGGCTCTATTATTTTTCCTTTATCAGAATCAAAATAATAAATAAACTTATAAATACATCTTAATCCCAGGAGGAAATCGTTCTAACTTGAACTATAAATGTGAAAAACAGAAAGTGTAAACACTATATATAAAAAAAGACTAAAACTAAGGCATTCAAAGTGCAATGTTTAGTCAAAATTAAATGTTACAAAGTTAAAACAATACTATACACAGTACGGTGTGAAAGATTGTTCAGTACTTAGCATAACTTGGACAGTATTGTCCTTTCTGAAACCTCAGATCAGTCAAGCTCCACAGCTGCAACATCTCTGGCCATGCATGATCCGTCTATTGATCGTATTATGAGACTTCATACACTTTAATATGTGCAAACTGTCTCTACCGTAGCTGCAGAGCATTGCTGAGAAAGACAACAATCTGATGCCCATTGGAAAACCAATTTTTGAGGTAACGGAAAAATTTTTTTAAACACAAAATAGACACAGTGTGAAACAGACTGTTACATACTTTGTTCCCCTCCATTCATACTGTCTGCATTTACTGGGTGCAGGCAGGCTACGAAGAGGAGGAAGAAGAAGATGACGAAGATGAAGAAGACAGCGAGGAAGACTCAGAAGATGAAGAGGACATGCAGGACATGGATGAGATGAACGACTACAACGAGTCACCTGATGATGGCGAGATAAATGAGGTGCTTTTCTTTATGATTTGAATAATTTTTCTTCCAGGCGACAGTATCACAAACCCTAACGGTCATGAGGTGTTTTAATGTTAAGACTTGGTAAAAATACATGTATCTAAATTTAATTCAGTTTCTTTCCATTACCAAAACTGCCTCTAATCTAGCTCTGTTTCTTTCTGTCAGGTGGATATGGAAGGACCAGACCAAGACCAAGACCAGTGGATGATTTAAGACAATACTGGTTTTCATCAGGCTGGCCCTGGGTTTCCACTCCATGCTTAAAATACAACTGCTGCTCTTCAGTCTCTGACATGTTTTTATGTGTGAAATTAGTGAAAGAACAATGCTGAAGAATCACCATAAGATACTTTGAGAAATCAGTGCATTTTTTCTAACTTCAATTTAATTACAATTGACAGTGTGTGACTGTGGAAAATACTTTAAACCAATCAAAGTGGCTCCAATTGTGTGGTGCTCTTAAGTAGTGTTGTTTTTGTATCAAGTCGGGAAAACCTTCACGCAGTGGTAGCAGCAGGCCCACTGATCCGTTACGTGAACCTTGAACTTTTGCTATCTACAGTTATGCAGAGCAGCGTCTGCAACCAGCAGACTAAGCATGACCATAACGTCAAGTCAGCAAAATAACTTATTGACCTATGCAAGAGTCATCCAGTTGCTTCACCATATAGTCCTGTTCTGTTTCCCAGCAGTGTTTTGTATGTTACAGAAATGCCTTCAGCAGAGCATTCATAAAACCCCAGGACATGTATTCTGATCAGACACTTTTTATATTTTGAACTATGTCAGAAGCAAAAGCTGCTAACAGATATTTAAATATGAGACACGGAGTTCTGTCATGGTTATGTTGTAGAATATTTAACCATGGCATTCTCTACTTCTGCTGAAGTTGTAAATTATTTTAACTGAACCATGTTTCTGTTTTTGTGTATTTGAATTTATTAATAAAATCTAACAAGATGTGACGCGTCACTTGTAGTTCAATAAAAAGTTTGGTGAATTTTGGTGGTGGGATGGCCAAGGTTTATATAATTAGACTTTAACTGCAGGGAAGAGTTTAAGAATTAATGCTTGCAGTTCAACTGAGGGAAGACAGGTGATTAATATTAACATGTACTTTAATAAAAATTTTATTTTAATTTAGGTTTAATTTGCATTTAGATTAAATTTTGTGAGTCTCAAATTTGGGAGTAAGAAAAAAGAAGCCTTAAAAAAGTTGTTTGAGTCTTTTAAACAAAAGAAAAGACATGAGATGCTGAGAAGTCACAACAAAGTCCCAGTAGAATAAAAGGTGATTGGAGCATATGAGATACCTAAACTGGGGATTGTTTATATTTCTCTATATAGAAAGTGTCAGCCTTTTGTTTTAAGATTTAATTTAGCTTTGTTTTGTTTTTGTGGGTAAATGTTGCAGTAAATTATCTCTTGTGAAATCGGTGGGGCACTTGGTCAAACGGGATCTGCAGTAAACCTTGAAGCTCCTTCTTTACCCAGTATGCACTAGTGAGTTATTTTGCAAGGTATTTCTTCACAGGTTGAGCTGTATTGTTACACAGACTAGAAATTGAAACGATACCCCTTTAGATGAAGTAAGAATTTGGACATTTCTGTTTCTGAAGTGTGTGTTTGAGTAACAATATGAAATCCTGCCATGATGTCATGATCTACTTGATTCCCTGGTACACCAGCTCAGCCATCCCATCCCTGATGCCCTTGCTATACTCTAGCGTGGCCCGGTGGATCTTCCATTCATACAGGCCACTCTTGCGAATATATCTAAGGAACTTTGGAGCACCAGGAAACAGCACGTTGTCTGCCAGGATAATAGATCCTTTTCCCAGTAGACCAGAGCCCTCGAGCATCTGTAACACACAGGGACAGCGAGTGAGGCAGCTGGGTGGGTAACAGTAGGAAAGCGCAAACCTTTAAGTCAAATATATAATATAATATAATATGATATAATATGATATAATATAATGTAATATAATATAATATAATATAATATACATATTATATTAATTATATTATATTATATATATATATATATTATATTATATTATATTATATTATATTATATTATATAATATATACAAATATCCTGTCTAGTAATTTATTCTCATTACTTGCAGGTCAGGGAGGTAACATTTCTTCCAGTGGTCCATGAAGACAAAATCCAGTCTTTCTAAATTGTAGTCAGAGCGCAGCTGAGGGATCACTTCATCAGATGGATTGACAATCAGCTCCACCTGAGGAAAGCACAGCATGATTATCAAAAGTATGAAACTCTCATTGTTTAGTAAATTTAGAGTAATAAAGCCCCAAATGTATCTGGTCTTTCAGACGGCCTGCGGCACATGAAGTGTACTGAACAAAGAACATTTTTCAAATTGTTTAGATGCTTCTCTAACTCACCGTGTCATCATCAAACCCTGCCAGGCGGATGACTTTCTCAGCGATAGCGGCATTTCTCTGGTCCATCTCGATGCTGTAGAGCCTGGCGCCCAGAGGCAGAGAACGGGCAATCCGCACAGTGCTGTATCCACAGTGGGCACCCAGCTCCAGCACTGTCAGAGGGCTGTGCTCCATCAGCAGCCGGTCCAGGATCTTTCCTAAAAATCAAGGAAACCATACACGCAAATACCCACCTAAAGGTGCTTTTTACTTTTTAAAACAAACAAACAAAGATTACGTTTGCTGTGTTCAAAATCTCTACCTTTTTTAGGTCCAATGTTGCTGATGAACTCCACTTTGCTGCACCAGACATCAAAGGTGTCCAGGATACTGTCAGGGTCTCCGGGGGTGGCATGAGTGAGGACGTACTGAAAGGCACGCTCCTCTCGGCTCAGACCAGTAACGCAGTCCTTCCATATCCTGATGAGGACTGCCCGATAGAACAGCACAAAGAAGTAACGGTACCTGATAATCAGCGTCAGCAGGAGTGGAAGGAAGGCCAGAGCAATAGCAGGAGACACCATCCTAGCATCTACAGACAGAAACACACATGCACAGGTCGGTTATTTGTCAGATATATTTTAACAAAGTGAGCCCTGTATTATTTATTACAAGAAGTATAAGTAAACACTGACTACAAGGGTTTTTGAAAGATGTTTTGATAGAATGGCTCTGGAAAACCTAAAAGAGGAGACCTTTGGGAACAAATAGTCTACACACACACACACACGTTTACAGCATGTCATTAAATTATGTCTGCTCTCTCCCATAGTTTGTGTCTCGTCTCTGTGTGCTCCTCTTTTCTCTCTCTTCTTTAACCTCACCCGCCACTCGGTCGCGGCTGATGGCTGCGCCTGCTTGGGTCAAATTCTGCTGGAAGTATCTATCTTCGGCCTGGTGTTTGCCATAGGGGATCATTAAATTGGTGTTTTTGTGAACTGGCAAGTCCTCTAATACCTGAAGTATACTTGTTGCTCTCTTTCTGATTCCCACAGAATTTATGCACCTGCAACACCTTATAAAAGCGTGTGTTCCTTTAAAATTTAGAAATTCCATGATTGGCACAAGGGAATTTATATTATTGCATTTTTTCTTAGCTCAGGTTCATTGAGGAAGGAAGGCAGTTGTCTTTTTTAAATAAACATCAACTGATGTCCTCATAAAAATAAAGAATCATAATTCAGGGGCAGTGGTATCACTCTCCAAACTACAAAACCACTTACTTATTCTGTTTATGCACTATGTGCTTAAACTATGATGTACTGGCACGTAAAACAACAACAGAAGGTAATACTGCACTGGATTAAGAAAAATTTCCCAAAGTGTGTCTCTGTTGTACATTTTTCAGTAACGTAGTCTGGTTTAGCTTTTAAATATGACCTAAGCTGTAAGTAAGGACAACAAGGACGCAGAAAAGCCACAATTTTCATTTAATCATTATTTCTTTACAGCAAAGAAATAAATGTACATACACAGGAAACTGTTAATAATTAAAACACTGTGATCTTTATTTGTAATCACAAAACACTTCTGAGCCGAATGAACTTCTAATACTCATGTATGCAAAATGACATCTGCACAGAAACAGGTGTAGCCGCCATAGCCTCGTGCTAAATGTGAAAGAAAGTGCTGTGCCGCTCTAGATGTTTCTACTGCCCCACATAAGTGTAGACTCCACAGACTTTCTGCATCACACTGAACAGAATCCATGTTACTCGGAAAGAAAAGACAAACTTACCTGTTTAATAAAAAGCAGAGTAGACTTTGAAAGGTGGCACTTGAGCTGAGGCAGGTGCAGAAACACAGAGAGAAGAGTGTGTGTGTTTAAGAGAAGCTCAGAGACACAAGGCTGTGAATAATTTATGTATCACGTGCATGACAGTATATATATATCCTATAAATATTCCCATTTAACAGAAAAAAACTACAACTGTTTAACATCAGGTTTTGCCATTTTTCATGTGACATGAAGAAACCAGTATATTTAAAAAAAATAAAATACAAATAAAATGAGCAACAGGAGAAACAAGGGCAGTGTGAAACTGACATTTGATATCTCAAGTTAACGTCAACAGGTGTGCGTCTCTGTGCGGAGTCCAATTTCTTTCTTTACTAAGTCATGATGGAAGGATCAAGAAAAACCTTATTGATGTATCAAGTAAAATACAAGATTAAAAAAATAAATTGAAGTAAACAGATAAATATATTGCTTGTGTGTGCATGGACATGTCACCACAGAGAGGGGAGATCGGTCTCCACCACAGCGATCATTACAAAAAGATTTCTTAATTCAGTGAATAATTTGATAAAGGAGACAAAATGTAACTCATTTATGTACAAAAAAATATATATATAAAAATAAAATGCAATGTTCCTGCCGGTATGATTTTGGGTGGTTCAGCAGTGTACACAAACACCAGCTCTCTTATCTTTGTTGATGAGGTGATGATCATTTGTAAAGTCTCTGGCTTCTCATTTTGGTAAAAATAATGCTCCGTTTTAATGGAGGAAACTCAGTGACAATAATAATGCAAGGATACATTTTGTAACAAGTCAAGATGATGCTGTGGTTTAATAAAAAAATGTTACTATTTTTTTAACGTAGCTATCTGAAACTGTCTGAACTATCAGCTGTTCACCAGTTAGCAGCTGGCTCCTTTGCTGGACTTTGTGTACATTACTGCAAAGCGCTGGTATTCACGCAGCACAATGAAAGCATCATCTGCAGGGCAGGAACAGATGTGGATGACTCGCTGTTTAAAGCTCTGCACACGGCTGCTTGAGGAGAGCTCGGATGAACTTCTTCAGCTCTTTGTCCCCTCTGCTCCACCTCACCAGTCGAGTCAGCACCAGTCTTCCCTCTTCAGCCTGAGCAAGGGAAAGGTACCATCCACCTTTCCCCACCTTTTTTCCTCTTTTTGTCAGTTTCTTATCCATCTGCACCTCCTCTTGACTTTTCTCCTCATTCTCGTCACTCTCTGCAGAGTCTAAACCAGGACAGTTACACGTGCCGCCTTCTTGGAGCCACAAAGCGCTGTGGGCCATGGCCCCTCCGACTCCTTCTGCTTTCTCAGCCCCTCCCCCCGCCCATCTCAGGATGCGACTGCGGGCCGTAGGCACCAGCTGAAGGTCACCCCCCACTGTCATCATGCTGCCCAGACGCATCTTAAATGCTACGACAGAGACACGGAGAACACTATTCAACAGGTGTCACTTCATGCATGTTGTAAATCACCCAGTCTCTGTGACTAGATAAGCTGTCCTGTTTTTGCAAGAGAAATTGCATGCTACAAAAGAAAAGGATGCATTTGGAGCCCACGTTATCTATAACACTTTGTTCTCACCATATGGACTGTGGCAGAAGTTTTCCTGGATGTCAATCTCTCCTTCTGCAGCCAGACTGCAGGCTTCACAAATAACACTCCCTGGGGGGATGGAAAACGACAATGGTTAAATGATTGCAGCAGTCTGCAGTGGGGATATAAAAATAATCACCTTGGTGGAACTTTTCTCTTTTGTTTTCTTTCGTCCATTAAACCCCAGCATCAAAGCAGGCCAAACACCTTAAGGCTTCAGTAAGAACCTTAAGTAAAAGTGGATTAAAATTTGCCTATTTGCACTACTCTGCCTGGTTTACACCCAATGTCATTTACCCATTATATTGTATATTGTATAGCTTTCTTGTTATATGTAAAATTGTATTGTATTTATTTATTTAAATTTTTACTTTTTAATTATTTTACCTGCATTTTTTAATCACTCTTATATTTAAATGTTCATTTGCTTTTTTATCTAGGGATTGAGAGTAACGTAGTTTCTATTCTCTGTATGTCCTGTACATGTGGCAGAATTGACAATAAAGTTGACTTGACTTGACTTGAAATACAACTTTACAGTCTAAAGTGTCTTGAGGTGGCTGTTGTGGTGATTTGTTGCTATATAAATAAATCTGAGTTGAAACTGAATTGAATTTTTTAAATGGATGCTGTGAAAGAGGCGTGATTGCAGTACTGTAAAAATTACATTCAGGGATGAATAAAGAGTAATACTAAAACTTAAGTAAAAGTGCCAGTATATTAATGTTTTTAAAAAATCTGTTCTAAGTAAACGTGCTGCATTTAAAGACAAAAATAAAGAAGTAATATGAGAAAAATGCAATAAAGCAGAAAAATGGCTTCAGGAAATGTAAACTACATTTATAAAAATGAAGTAAAACTACAGCACTCCAAGTGCAATGTTATTAATTAAAATGAAATATCCCAAAGTTAAAACAATGCCATGTACAGTACAGAGAGTATATTATAAGTGAAGTGTAATTAGTACAGTTTACATATGACTGGAGTATTATTGATGCAGCAAAGTGGAAGCACAACCTTTCAAAATGGGTGACATCACAATACAATCATGTAGTTTTCTTAAAAATTACTATTTTTATTGTTATTATTGGACAATTGTACTTGTCGGAGGCTTTAACAGTTACTCCATTAAAGTTAAATGTGTCAATTAAATTTCAGTTCAATTACATTTATATAGGAGCAAATCAGAAAAATAGTGCTTCGCAGTGCTTTATATTGTAAGGTAAAGACCCTACAATAACAGAGAGAAAACCCCAAAGATCAGACAGCGTCCTCTGAGCAAGTATTTGATGAGAGTGGGAAGAAAACCCCCCCAGAATAAAACACCTTTTAACAGGAGGAGACCTCTGGCACAACCAGGCTCAGGGAGGGGCCCTGACTGGTTGGGGGTGAGGAGAGGAAGACAGGACAAAAGAGAAGAGAGCCAGAGATTAATCATAACTAATGATTAAATGCAGAGAGGTGTAAACTATGTGTAAAAGCATAGTGAGTTAAAGCCCCCCAGCAGTCTGGGTCTATTGCAGTCTGACTAATGGAGGATTCAGGGTCGCCTGATCCAGACCTAAGTATAAGCTTTAACAAAAAGGAAATTTTCAAGCCTAATCTTAAAAGTAGAAAAGATGTCTGTCTTCTGAATCCAAACTGGGCGATTGTTCCACAGAGAGGGGCCTGAAAGCTGAAAGGCTCTGCCTCCCATTCTGTCCTACGAGTACGCATGCAGTCTGAGAGAAAAGTGCCCTATTGGGTTGATACGCTACTATGAGGATTATGATTATGGGACAAACACTTGCATTTTAAAGACTTATTAAAATCTTACATGAAACACTAGAAGAGCTTGTGAACATTTACAATGAAAAAGAAAACATGAGAAAGTTCAGTGTTTATGAGAAGCTTTTCTGGAGTGAGTGAGCAACATTTCCTTAATGAATGCAGTGGAAATAAAAGAAAAGGATCTACTACAAGAAAAACACAGTCTAGCAAACCGCATCCTCAGAGCTGTACTTGAGTACTTGAGAACTTCCCCAAACAAAATTGTTTTGGTGGAGAATGACACAACTTTGTGCACTGACCTTTGGGCACCTCCTCGTGCTTCGCCTCCTCTGTTTCCCGCCCATCCTGCCCCTCGGATACGGGGATGCAGAGTTCGGTTTCGTGTGGGAACCGGGTGCAGTTAAACATATAAGGCCAGGGGAAGCCGAACGCGCTCATCACTGGCACGCAGCCATCCCGTACGGCCTCGCACAGGTTCCTACAGGGGCTGACCGGCCCGCTGACCTCTGGCAGACACACCGGAGCGAAGAGCGAGCATAGAAACTTCTTGGTGTCCCGGTGGCAGTGCTTGGAGATGAGTGGCAGCCAGGCTGCAGACTGCTGCTGGACCTCCCTCAGTGAATCATGGCCGAGCATGTTTGGAATCCACATGCTCCTGTAACCGATCCCGTGGCACAGAGACATAGTGCTCGGAATGGGTTTGCACACGGAGCGAAAAGTGGGCTTAAACCAGAGCGACGGTTCCGGAGGCGCGCTGTCAGAAGCGTGAGAAACTCCAAAGAGCGCAATGAAAGAGAGCAGAAAAAGAGGCATCGTTTTGTCTACAGTCTAAAGCGCTTCTGCTCTTCTGTCTGGACTTGACCGGCATGTAGGTGTAAACAGAGAGGTGTGGAGGAAACAGGGGGTTAATGAGAGGCCAGGCGCCTCCCAGTCACAATCCCACCCCATCAAACCGCTGCTGTCTGCCTCCACGGCAGTGTCAGTGGGGGCGTAGGGATTGTTTACTTAGTTTGGGTTGTCAGTAATGTTGAAAACATTTGTGTGCAGCGTCACAAGACAGAAAGAATAAACTTCTGCAATGCTATTTGAACTTATAAGAAATATTCACCAGCCTCCAAACGTCTGTGTATTGACAATAGATTAGATGAAACTTTATTAATCCCTCGGGTGGGTTCCTCCGGGAAATTCTAAATCCAATAGCACAGCACCAACAGAAGTTACAGAAAGTGAGCAGAAATATACCATATATACACATATATAAATACAGAGTATACAAAAGGGATGAATAGAATAAATAGGAATAAGAATACAAGGGAATTGCACATTTCAAGTATGTGAGTCTATTGCACTGTTGACTATTAACAAAAAGTATTGCACAGTGAAGAGGCACTACAGCTTAGTTGTTCCCCCTGCTTTGTCCTCCTGTTTCCCCTCCCTCTCCCCCCCCCAAAGAGGAGTTAAACAGTGTGTGTGGGACAAAGGAGTTTTTAAGTCTGTTAGTTCTTGACTTTGGGAGAAGCAACCTGTCACTGAACAGACTCCTCTGGTTGTTTATGACCGTGTGCAGAGGATGCCCAGCATTGTCCATAATGTCCAGAAGTTTCTTTAGTGTCCTTTTCTCTGCAACTGTCACCAGAGTGTCCAGCTTGATGCCGACCGCAGAGCCAGCCTTCCTGATCAGTTTTTCCAGCCTGGGTGAGTCCTTCTTTGCTGTGCTGCTCCCCCAGCACCTCACAGCATAGAAAAGTACTCCAGCAACCACCGACTGGTAAAACATCCTCAGGAGCTTCCTGCAGATGTTAAAAGCGCGAGGTACTTGTATGTGTTGACCACCTCCTCTCCCTCTATCTGAACTGGCACTGGACCTGCTCTGGACCTCTGGAAGTCCACAACCACTTCCTTGGTCTTTGAGGTGTTGAGTTGCAGGTGGTTTGTGTGACTAAATGTGACAAAGTTCCTCATCAGACTCCTGTACTCTTCCTGATCATCCCAGATACACAGTTTATAATTTAAACTGTTGCTTTTTATGCCATTCTGCTATGTGTTTTAATGTTTTTTAATTGCTCTTATTTGATACTTTACAAAATATAAAAAATTGGAAATGTATGTCTAAGTAACAAACAAACAAATAAAGTAACAGTGACAGTGCAGCAGTATGAAATTAATTGCTGGAAATAAAATGTAACTATCGTGCGTTTGGGAAGCTGAATGTGTTTGGTACCCTGTCATCGTACACAACCCGAGGACATATCAGCGAGCCTTTAATCTTTCCCAGCGAGTCTGCCACATGTACAATGACATGTCCTATCCTGCCCCATCATCTTACACTTTGCTACAGTAGCTTATTGTAAACGCAGGAGCAGTTCATACTTGCTTAAATATTTGTAGTTTGGTTTATCCTAATTTTCTATCTTACTTCAAAGCAAAAAGAAAGAAATACAGTGTTCAGACAAGTTAGAGTCACTCAATACAGAGCAGAGAATTAATGACAGAGGCACAGCACTTTGCTACTTCGCCTAAAGATTGTCATGGACATTAAAAAAGTACTCTTCAGGGCAATACAGAACAACAAAGTGGGATACTTGTAAGCTGATTCATCAGTAATGTAATACTCTATAATTAAATCCAACTTAACCTGCTTAGACCGAGGGAAGTCCCTTTATTGAACCCCACCTATACTGTGTCCTGTTGGTTCTATATGTTACGTAAACTTCCTAATTACTGTCCACATATACAGAACTGGGTAATAGTCTTCAGCCAACCCATATTTTTAATGCTCTGTTTCCAAAGAGCCAAACTTCTTTATGTTTATTTGTAGGCTTTTAGAACAAAAGTTCTTCAGTCTTCCTGAACATCTTCCAGAGTTTTTCTTTGTACATACAGTGGGGCAAAAAAGTATTTAGTCAGCCACCGATTGTGCAAGTTCCCCCACTTAAAATGGTGACAGAGGTCAGTAATTTGCACCAGAGGTACACTTCAACTGTGAGAGACAGAATGTGAAAAAAAAATCCATGAATTCACATGGTAGGATTTGTAAAGAATTTATTCGTAAATTAGGGTGGAAAATAAGTATTTGGTCACCTCAAACAAGGAAAATCTCTGGCTCTCACAGACCTGTAACGTCTTCTGTAAGAAGCTTTTCTGTCCCCCACTCGTTACCTGTATGAATGGCACCTGTTTGAACTCATCATCTGTATAAAAGACACCTGTCCACAGCCTCAAACAGTCAGACTCCAAACTCCGCCATGGCCAAGACCAAAGAGCTTTCGAAGGACACCAGGAAAAGTATTGTAGACCTGCACCAGACTGGGAAGAGTGAATCTACAATAGGCAAGCAGCTTGGTGTGAAAAAATCAACTGTGGGAGCAATCATCAGAAAATGGAAGACATACAAGACCACTGATAATCTCCCTCGATCTGGGGCTCCACGCAAGATCTCATCCCGTGGGGTCAAAATGATCATGAGAACGGTGAGCAAAGATCCCAGAACCACACGGGGGGACCTGGTGAATGACCTGCAGAGAGCTGGGACCAAAGTAACAAAGGTCACCATCAGTAACACACTACAACGGCAGGGAATCAAATCCCGCAGTGCCAGACGTGTTCCGCTGCTGAAGCCAGTGCATGTCCAGGCCCGTCTGAAGTTTGCCAGAGAGCACATGGATGATACAGCAGAGGATTGGGAGAATGTCATGTGGTCAGATGAAACCAAAGTAGAACTTTTTGGTATAAACTCAACTCGTCGTGTTTGGAGGAAGAAGAATACTGAGTTGCATCCCAAGAACACCATACCTACTGTGAAGCATGGGGGTGGAAACATCATGCTATGGGGCTGTTTTTCTGCCAAGGGGACAGGACGACTGATCCGTGTTAAGGACAGAATGAATGGGGCCATGTATCGTGAGATTTTGAGCCAAAACCTCCTTCCATCAGTGAGAACTTTGAAGATGAAACGAGGCTGGGTCTTCCAACATGACAATGATCCAAAACACACCGCCCGGGCAACAAAGGAGTGGCTCCGTAAGAAGCATTTGAAAGTCCTGGAGTGGCCTAGCCAGTCTCCAGACCTCAACCCCATAGAAAATCTGTGGCGGGAGTTGAAAGTCCGTGTTGCTCGGCGACAGCCCCAAAACATCACTGCTCTCGAGAAGATCTGCATGGAGGAATGGGCCAAAATACCAGCTACTGTGTGTGCAAACCTGGTAAAGACCTATAGTAAACGTTTGACCTCTGTTATTGCCAACAAAGGTTATGTTACAAAGTATTGAGTTGTATTTTTGTTATTGACCAAATACTTATTTTCCACCCTGATTTACGAATAAATTCTTTACAAATCCTACCATGTGGATTCATGGATGGGTTTTTTTTTTTTTTTTTTTTTCACATTCTGTCTCTCACAGTTGAAGTGTACCTCTGGTGCAAATTACTGACCTCTGTCATCATTTTAGGTGGGGGAACTTAACCCTGACTAAATACTTTTTTGCCCCACTGTATGCTGCTTTTTCAATCACTTCTTTTGCTTTTTACTTTTTTTTTTTTTTTTAAATCATTTATTTATCCAGGTAAAAGTCTCACTGAGATTCAATTTTCATTTCCAAGAGAGACCTGGTATTTTTCAGTACAATCCTTGTACCTGACCATTGTCAGAGGAATGTAAGCCACTTAATACTGACGTAGGAAACATAAAGTCACCTAGCTTAAGAGATGAACTAATGTTGTGTCTATACTTAACAGGCAATTTAGCAAAGAATCACAGCGATCTTATCACTGCCAGCTGGTTGCAAAAACAAATAATTTGTTCCCATTTATTAACTTAAATCTACAGACACAGTTTGATGGGCTTAAATTATTATTTTTGCAGCAATGACGGTGATTCCAAAAGAGATATTAGCTTAAAACTTGGTGTGCAGCAAGTCCTTAACAACTTTAAGGAAACTGCACAAGTTGAGGATAAAAGAAATCAAAGAAATTAAAGCAGAGAAACAGTATCTGAAAATCATAGTGAAACAAAAATCCAGCAAAGACCTGACACGGGGCCTGAGAGATACAGTAGAGATACAGTAGATACATCTACTGTTCACTGAAGCCTCATCAGAAATGGTGTCAGAGGAAGGGTGTCTGTCAAGAAGCTGTTCTTCACAAAGGGAGTCGGGAAGAAAAGTTTGAGGTATGCCAAATTACACATGAACTGGACTGAAAATGAGTGGAAACAGGTCTGATGGAGTGATGAACCTTTTGCGTCATAAGATTGTTCTGTGTAATGTGTATACAGCAGGTCAGGAAACAAGTACAACACAAACTGTTTATAAAATATGGTGGCGACTCTGTAAGGTTTTTGGCTGCATTTCAGCCAGTGTTAAACCTGAGATTTCTTTCTGATATACGCATTTCTAATCCTGCCCATCCTTTTCACTTTCAATTTTAAAAATCATATCATCTGCAGCTCTGCCACCTCCAGCTCTCTACTTAAAATCAGGTCTCATTACCATCTGGCACAAATCTCACAGGACGCTCGTCTTCACCCACTTCACCCCGGCTCCACTCTAACCCTAACCTCTTTTGTGCACTGTCCATTGATTTGGATGGTTAACCCCAGGTATTTAAACTCATCTACCTTCATTGCGTCTTCACCGTTACAAAAACAGTACGTAAACAAAAAATACATAATGAAACCATCAAAAAGCAACATACTAAAAATGTCATATATTAGTATTAATATATTATTCATTTCCTCGCGACCCTGAAAAGGATAAGCGGAAGCGAATGGATGGATTGATATTATCTATTTATTTATCATTCATTCAGTTCACGTTTAAAGCTTCCTCTTCACGTGACGAGGTCCGACGTCGCTTCTCAAAAACCGGAAGTGGTTCTTGTGTTGTTGCGTTAGAGCTACTGTCATGTGATAGCTCGCTCGAGAAGCTGCTGCTGCTTCTGACAGTAGCTCCTTACCTTTAGATGAGGTTATAATACAACCACGCTGGAGACAACTTTTATGTTTGCTAGAGAAGAACAGCACGACTGGTTTCTGACGGAGAGAAGGGACGCCGGGGTTGTGTAGTGTCGGCCGTCGGACGTTGCCATGGGTTGCTGTTACAGCAGCGAGAACGAGAACACAACTCAGGTAGTTAGCTGTTAGCAGGCTAAACCCGATATGTGAAAGCTGGGCAATTTAAAAGTGGAGTACCTAATAGTGTATTATCCCTTTGGGCATATTTCCCCGCAGACGGTACACGTGAGTAATGCGTGACGACGTTAACAAGTGGTCGTTTTCTAGGGGCTAGCAGCTTGCTACTGTAAGCTAGCCTTTGGCTAGGCCTTTTGTGAAGTACAAGCCAGTTAAGTTAGCCAAGATGATAAACAGTCTGACTTCAGAAAGCTTTAACAGATCCAGAGGCAAAGAGATGTGTTTTGATGTTTGTTTGTTTTTTAAAACAAAAAAAAGTTATTTACTTATATAAATGGTTTTAAAGCGAGGTGAAGAGTAAAGAATAAGTTGCTAACGTGTTAGATAGGACAAACGGCAAGGTGAGGGACATTTGGGATTTTACTTTCATGTAGTCATATGACCCTAAAGATTCCCAGCTATTTTTAGTTTAGAGAAATAAGTCATTTCTTCCTCCATGCATCTTTCCAGTTTAAGGGAGCAATGGGGACAGAGTGAAGATCTATCTTTCTCTGCCTGTGTTGTGCTCATATATTTGTTTTAGACTAAAGAAATTACTTTTGGAGTATTTGTAAGAGCACCACAAGTTGCAGAAGTGATACTTTGTGCGTTGTTGCATTACTATAATGTAATTATATTAACACACACACACAAAATAATGAAGTAAAATAAATAAAATAAAACAAAATAAATGATAACTTTAAAGTGGTCTCAACTGTCATAATTAGCTTTGATTTAGAAGGAAAAAGAAGTAAGTTAAATTTCTTGATTTGTTTAAGGAAGAGACAAAGCCGCTCATCTCCCCGAACCCTCCCAGCAAACCACTAAATGGCGGGACCGGCTGGAACCCTGGAACTAGCTCATCAGCGCTGTCAAATGAACAGGCCCTCCTTTCATCCATCCTGACAAAGACGGCACAGTAAGACCCTCCTTAATGCAAATGTAGCCATGCCACTGACAATAACGCAAGAGTGTCTGTGTAATAAACATACCGTTATCCCCCTGTACATCAGGAACATCATCGACGTCTCAGCAGCAGACGCCATCATGGTGGAGCCGCATGAGTACATGGACAGAGCTCGACAATACAGGTGTGCAAATAGACGGTTTATGGCTTGATGGGTTTTGTTTACTGGCTCATAATAATTTTGAATGGCTCTTCAGCATGTTGTTTGATTTCTACCAAACAGAGCAACCTCGTTTACACTAAAACACAGGTGCAGGTTAAACACTAGCTCCTCAAAGCACAGTCTACTGGTTTAAGAGAACTTAAATAGCAGCACAGCTGATTTCTTTGTTTTTCTCTCTTCAGTACAAAGATGACTGTATTGAGCACCAGTCTGCCTCAAAACAAAGCCCTCGCTCTCCCCTCCCTCACCAGCCAGCCCCACCAAGTACTTGCGAGTGACCTGGTGCCATACTCAGATGTTCAGCAGGTATCCATCCATATGTAACATACTCTGATTGAATGGGGCTGTGTGATTCCTGCGCAGAATCCCCAGTCGTGTCATTTTAAAGACTGCTAAGCGGTTAGAATTTGACTTCTCTATTTTCTTTGCAGGTGTCTAAGATAGCAGCCTATGCTTACAGTGCAATATCTCAAATCAAAGTGGATGCTAAAGAAGACTTGGTGGTCCAGTTTGCCATTCCCTGATTCTGCAACTCTGGCCTGCATATTGTTGCTCCAGTCCCACTTTCTTCATGTCACTCCTGCATCCTCAACCTCCAGCCCCACCCGTCATTAAACATTTTGGTCCTCCTGCTTTCTGCTTTAAACTGCTTCAAAGACGAAGACAATGTAGGGTCTTACCCCATGGCTGTCCTCGAGTGTAATTAATTTAGTGACAAATGGAAGATGGGTTTGAGCTCGTATGTACATCAGCGAGGCCTCCAGCTGTGGAAATCAAACTTTTTGATGATCTCTGAAAAAAAAAAAAAAAAGTTTTCCACGAGTGTTTTTAGTTTCTTTGTTTTCTGAGAATCAGAGCTAGCTTGTCACCTTGCTGATACGTATGTTGGACTCACCTGGGATAAAGCTGTTGGATTTTTGACACAAAGCTGTTGGCTGTTGGTTAATACAATGCATTTGATAAAGTCTCCACTGAAAAAAAGGGATCACTGTGGCGTGGAATATCGCAAATAATCACTGCACCACATGTTGAATATGTTATTTACCAGGGGAATAAAAAGCAAAACAAAACCCCCAAACATGATTTAATCTTAACTCTTCATATATGTTTAGCTCTGTTTCACATCCTTGATGTCACCAGAAATTCTTCAGTCTTTATCCCTGAGCAACAACAAAATGTTAATGTTAATATTAGCACCAGTAAAAAGGAATGACACGCTTTTTCTCCCAAAATTAAAATGTTATCGTTTAGTGGAGTATACTGGCAACCATAAACAACTCACACTAACCAAGTTAGAGTGAATTTCAATGACACGTGACAGTGGAGTAATCTGTTATTCCAGTCGAGGCCAAACCTTAATAACCTTTCCTTGGCTGGTGGGTGAGGATGCAGCTTTTCTTGGGTCACAATTCTGGAGTTTACAGGTGGCGCTGTGTCCTCTGCGCTTATCTAGCATTAAATAAACGAGCAGGCCAGAAGTTCAAGTGTAATATTCAAAGATGAAAGTGCGTGGTTGGGTGTGTGCGAGTGTGTGTAGGGACAGATATTGTGTCTTCATGCCTTTGTACAGAATTTTCTGCTTGAATATAAAAACTAAACATGATGGATTGTATGAAGTCCCTCCTTTTTGTAGAGACTTCACTGGTCAGAATTGGCTAAGATCTTGTGGCGATAAGTTTTTATGAAACACAAGAACCCTTTTAAGGCCTGCATTTGTTAAGCTTTTAAACAAAGAGGTTTCCCCTGCAGATTGCAATATGATTGGATTCGTTCATAATCAGAAACTAACCGTTATAGCAGGGGGCAGGGTGTTAACAATCAGTCTATAGAAGCAAATAAAACGAATTGATCCCTTTTTGTGATTATTTATTTCTGTTTCTCAAGTATATATTTGCTCCTCGGAGGAGAGCACGACTGTATGCGTGGGCAGGGAGCACGGTGAAGCGCTCTAGACACAAAAGGGATAATCTGCTAGGCTTTGATTATTTAAACCACGCAACTGATCTGAGCTTTTTGCAATGGGTTCTTGGCATTTTTTTCCCCTTTATGTTTGTTACTCAAAAGTGTAATACTACCTGAAATATGTTTGTAATGTCTTAGGCTAGTACCAAAAAGTTTTAGTTTTGTTTTTTGTTTTGTTTAATTCATTAAAGACTTTTAACAAATCGCTCCTGTCCTGACCCCAGTGTGCTCTTATGTGAGATGTAATTATTCAGTGATGCTACAGAGATGGTCAACAGCACTTTCTTTAATTTAACTTTGTTGCAAACAGTATTAAAATATTTCCAAAACCCACATGAATGATCAGATATCTGGATGTGAATGACAACATTTTGTGATCTATGGATAAAGAACACAGTAATGTACTACAACACTACTAATTCTGAAGAACAGTTACTATCAGTGGCCTCATCAATCAGCCACGCTTGAGTTAACTGATTTAAAGAAAAGTCAGGTGTCTCTTTTTTATGCTTTTTTTTGTATACTGCCTTTAGTATATTTAATAAAGTCATGCAAAATTACTATTAAACTTAGTTCTGAGTTATAGGCCCTGCTAGTAAGCAGAAGTAGGCTGAATTTTGTCACTTTTTGGCCTGTTTTGAGCTCATACCTGCTCAGTACAAGAGATTACTACACAAAATGCAACACATATAAGCTCTTTTTTTTTTTTTTTTGAGAAAAAGGTGAGAGATTAAATCGGTGCAGATTTGTGACATACCCCTTGATATTAATGCTCAAAGGGTCATTGTTTCCCAGAGCCTCTCCCTCTTCTTTTTTATTTTTCTCTCTGTGACCCTCCTGCTTTCTCTGCAGCTCTCAGTCACCTTCTCATATACTCTTAGTATTTAAGGACTGGCTTGCCATCCATACAATGCCAGATCATACAGCTAGATTTTTAATAGTAATGTCCGCCTCTTTATTCAGTGTTTGGATTAATCCCTTTATGTGTGCTTCATGCTTAATAAAGTGTGCACTTGACAAATAGGTAAAGAGTATCAGTTTATGGATGGAGACGAGGCAGCAGTCACTGGTTAACCTTGCTGCTCCTGCAGCGGCTGTTGCTCTGGTGCCAGATCTTTGCCAAGACTCGCTCCTGTCGCGTTATGGCACTAAAGTCCATCGTCTTTAACCGAGGCAGGACGGTAATCACACGATTCCTACATACAGAAAGACGCCCAATAAATATCTCAGGCACGTTTTGTAGACATTTATACAGAAATAACACTGAATACTAAAAAGGCCTCGTCTTTGCAAACGCATCCAAACTTTATCTTGTGTAACCAGCGCTGCAAACATGCTCTAAATGAATGAAGAAGCTGCTGTCACTCATTAGAAATCGGTTTTAAACAGAGGTGCCTCTGTCTGCAGATGGACATGAGCCTGCAGTCACTGCACTGTATGTGTTTTTTTAACCGGTGTTGCTATGCAGACTAGGACAAGTAATATGAACCCTATCTGCATTTAAGCACCTGTTACAATGTTGTGAACTTAGATGCTTGCCGTGCACTCATGTCACACTTACAGACATCTGCAGAATGAGAGCAATCCCTCATTCTACACCTCTGAGGTGTCTGAGCTTCTGATTGTCTGGACTTGGTTCTGTAAACAGCAAACTATCATCAGCTTCTATAAAATATCTCCCATTTAAAACACATTAAAGCTCCCTGGGACATGTGTGACGAGTGTTTAGTGTAAAATACAGTTGAGAAAATCTCCACCTGTATGCCTTGTTGGTTTCTATCACATTTCCATGCAGAGTGATGGTGTGCAGATGTGGCAGCACTCCCAGCCTGTCCACCTCTGACAGAATAAAAATGCTGTTTCCATGAAGGTACAACACACGCAGTTCACGCAACTCACACAAGACCTGGAACACACATGTGTACACCAGCTTCAGATGTACTTCAGATGTAAAAGAAAGACAAACAGCTGCTGATAACGACACTCACGTGGTCTATGTGTGTGATTTTGTTGAAGGAAAGATCCAACCAGGTTAGATGTGCCGGCTGAGCCAGGAAATGGCTAACAGTCTTCTGGAGGTCATGAAGCTCAGTGATGTTGTTGTTGTTGAGGCGGAGCGAACAGCTGGGATATTTCATCTCTGAATTTTTCTTTAGAGGCCTCAGACCGCTGTTGGGCTCCTCTATCCATGTGTCTGAAACCCCAAATAAAATAAAACACAGTGGGTATTAAATGCTACTAAAGTACGGGCCTGTAACTTTGTGTGCTGTTGTATTAGTGTTGCCATCTTTTTCATTAATATAAAGGACTGGAGGCTTAATGAATCCCTCCAACGTAACATAGAAATCTAAAGAGCAACTGTTCCAAACTTCAGGCTGCCATTGTCCAGTCTGAAATGTGATAATCTTCTGAGGCCCACCCAAACCCACTGTCAGAGCTCTGATCATCACACAAGTGGAAAAATAAGTAATTTCTTTGTGTTATTCAGTTGGATCTTCTGACAATTTACTTCTTTAACTTAAAATTCCAACAACAGCTTTCCCCCCCAACTAATGTAAGTTATGTATAAAATTTTAAAGTGCCATGACCCTGTTTTATTACTTCAGTTTCTTTTCAAAACATCAATATTTCAGAGTGATTTTAAGTCATACATTTTACATGGATTTGAGTTACCCCCGAAAGTATTATCATTCGATTTGGACTATACAAGTGCATCCTAATAGGTTCATCCATTAAGTCAGAGAGAACTAATAATTTATTTATTGTAAATGACCTCTTGCAGCCCTTAATATCCTACATAAAGAGCGATATAGCGAAGAGTATTACCTGTTAAACTGCTGATGTTTTTAAAAGATAAATCCACTGGAGCTGCATACATAGTCACCCGCCAGCAGGGGGAGATGATGTTACGGTGAAGTACTGCGTTTACCAAGAACGTCTTTAAACACAGCACGATCATAAACACAAACAGCACGAACAAAAAGTTTGTGATATGAGTGAATAACACACACTCACTGCTGCAGATAATGAATGAAAGCCTCTGTAAAAGCACCATAAACGTGTCATGATCTGTCAAGTCATGCTAAGTATGCTAAGCAGCACATTTGAGCCATAAACGATATTTCTAACCATACTGATCAGTTTTAATCATTTATGTGGATATTTCACTTACCCAGAGTGTAAGGTATATTATACAGCTACTACACGTCACGGTGGCACAGCTTCCAGTAATGAGACAACAACCCGTTTCTATAGAAACGACCGAGTGCCATATGGAACTTGTAGTCCAAGCCAGTCTTGCCAAACGGCAGACATCTTGAAGCACTTTTTTGTGCAAAATGCAATGAAATGAACTAAATCTGTTTGAATCATCTCTACCATTTTGGATCTGTTTCGTCTGAATGTGGATCTGTCCGTTTCAGCTTCCTTACAGGAAGTTAGCAATGCTAAAGAAATGCTGGAAATGTGGACTGTGCTTGGATGAAAAATTCAAACTTTAATGAACAAAATTAAGTAATATGATGAGTAAAATATTTTTTAAAAAGTCAATGGTGAGACAATTTTCTAAAAACAGACTATTTACACAGAAATGAACACTGTTCTGATCATGTATATGTGTTAATATGATGAATTTAATTTAATTGCATGACATTAATGCAAACGTTATTTAACTGTATGTATGAACATAACATATTTAGCTTCATACATGCAGCTAAATAGCCTCCCTATGAATATTCATTGTTGTTACCATCAAATTTGATATCATGTACTCGAGGAAAAAAACATGAAAAAACAAAACTGGGAGGGGTATCGAAACGCAGTCCACTATGCGTTTTGAGGAGAAAATTACATAGAGCAAAGAAAAGTTTAACCCTTTCATGCATGAATTATGATGATGTCAATCAGGATTTCTTTTCTTAAGTATTTTTATTCATCTTTAGGCATGAAAAGATGAATAAAAATACTTAAGAAAATAAATCCTGATTGAGGTTGTCATAATTCACACATGACAGGGTTAAATAACAATAATTACAATGAAACACATACAGTAACATTAAACGACCAGTGGGTGGCAGGGTATGGAGTGACACATTAATGCCCAATGTAGTGGTTTATGTGCAAGTATACCATCAACACTGACACAATAGCTGTCCACTGTAGTGACCAGTATGTGTGAAAGAGTTATTTGGAGTGAACAAAATTCATTGCTGCGTGCAAGAAATGTATTTCAGTGTCTGCTATTTATCCATACACACACACAATAACAGCCCCGCTCTCTCAGTTGTTGGCGTTTGCTCTCGCTCAGATCTCTGCTCTATGTGCTGACGGACATCTGTGGACCTGCTCTCAGTGTGTTGCTCCTGCTCTCAACATCTCTGCACCCTCAACTTTTTCTGTAGTGCCCTGCAGACTGTTCACAAAGCTGAGGGATCTGGGACTTAACAGCCGTCTGTGTGCATGGGTGTTGGACTTCCTCACTGGCAGAACTCAGGTGGTGAGGGTGGGCAGGTGCTTCTCCAACAGCATCACCATCAACACAGGAGCACCTCAGGGATGTGTCCTCTCGCCACTGCTCTACTCCCTCTACACTTCAGACTGTGTGGCCACCCATGGCTCCAACACCATTGTGAAGTTTGCTGACGACACAGTGGTGTTGGGTGCCATCTCCAACAACGATGAGGCGGCCTACATGGATGAAGTGAAGAATCTGGCATCGTGGTGCCAGGACAACCACCTCCAGCTGAACGTCAGCAAGACCAAGGAGCTGGTGGTGGACTTCAGAAGGGGTCAGCACAGAGACTACAAGCCCATTATCATCAATGGAGCTCCAGTGGAGAGGGTGCAGTCCTTCAAGTATCTTGGTGTCCACATCTCCTCAGACCTGACATGGGCTGCCCACATTCAGGTCCAGACCAAAAAGGCTAGGCAGCGCCTGTATCACCTACGACAACTGAGGAAGTTCAGGGTCTCTCCAAAGATCCTCAGGATTTTCTATACAGGCGCTGTGGAGAGCATCCTCACACAGAACATGACATCGTGGTTTGGGAACAGCTGTGTGAAGGACCAAAAAGCTCTCCAGAGAGTGATCCGTACAGCAGAACGCTGCTGCAGGATTGCTCTCCCCCCGCTTCAGGACACCTACACCAGGAGATGCCGGACTAGAGCAGCGCAGATACTGAAGGACCCGTCCCATCCTGGCAACAAACTGTTCCAACTTCTGCAATCTGGTAGAAGGTTCCGCATCATCCGGGCAAGGACAGAGAGACTCAAGAGGAGCTTCTATCCCCAAGCCATCCGTGCCCTAAACACACACACCCGCCCTCTCACATCATCTATAATTGACTGAGACAGGACTCTCTTCCAGACACTCTAAACCAAGGCACAATGTACATTTCAATTCCTTTAATTTTAAATATGTTTATATTGTCTATCCTGTAAAATAGTCAGATGTCTATTCATATTAATGTACAGAATTCATGTCGAGGAGCGTGTCAGGCTACATTTCACTGTGTGTTATACTTGTATAACTATGCATGTGACAAATAAAGAACCTTGAACCTTGAACCTTGTACTCGTTATAAATGTGCGACAAAACCAACTGATCACAGACTTGGGTGCAAAAACTCTGATTGGCTGTTTTGGTCTCCAATCAGCTCGGTAGCTACTGCATGCCGGAAACACTGTCCAAAGTGTAGTTAAACCCATTTTCGGTTAGTATTTTATTTTATTTTAAATATGTAATTTTTTAAGACTATTGTTAGTTTTAATCTAATTTAAACCAAACCACTCCACTGGATTTAGCTACACTTTGTGAATATTTGATGTGGTACAGATGGAGAAGGCTGTGAGTCATTCCAGCAGGCAGAAGCAACTTCTCCAGAAAAGCAAAGAGGAGGTGGATGCACTAAAATGTTCTCTACAGGTCAAAGAGTGGGAAATGCAGGCATCATCATCATCACGGAAAAACTGCTACTTCAGCTCAGGTTGGGCAACGCCCAAACCAATGAGAGGATGCTTGCAAACAGGGTGGCCAGCTTGGAGGCACAGGTTGGTATTGCTGTTTGAAGCACTGAGCAGAAATATGAGCACAGATATAAGCACGTACACTTTTTCATTCTGATATGTTTTCTATCATTATATCTTTACTTTTAGTTGGGTTCTGCTGACCATACCTTTAAAGTGCACAATGAGACTCTGTTCACTGTGTTTCTTTGAGGTCCTGAACACAAACTCGAGTGTTTGCAAGAGAGCACAAGAGAAGAGAGCCATGAAGTGTGAAGATGCCAGCAGGATTAATGCGCAATAGGAGAATCAAATGTAAGCACAAAGGTAGCCCAAATAATAACAGTGACTCGTGTAAAGTTTCATGACTGACTCCTGTGTGCTTGTGATGTTATTGCAGTGAAAACCTACCTTAAACTACTTTTGTGGTAGTTGCAGTAGTTACCAGTCACCAGGACCATGAGGAGCACAACACAGAGGACCCCCTTAGAAAAAAAAAAAACTCATGCAGGAAAACTTCAGTGCCCTGTAAATTAAAAAAATAAAAATTTAAGCTGTGTTATCTCTTTCTCTCTGCATTTACAAAGCACTGTCTACACTTACTGTAGACCCTTCCAGTAATTAATAAATAACTCTTCTTAATTGTAGGCAAATGTTATAAAACTGGATTACAGGATTATTTTATTTATATTTAATTACTTCACACACCTTTCAGAAACCTTGAGTATGAATGAATTTGTAAATTTTACTTTTCATCTTTCACGACTTGTGCTGAAGATGATATGGAAGTGGATTCAGCCCCAAATAATTCAGCTTCATCTTTCAAACTTTGCAGAACCAAGCAGGTTATGAACTTCACTGGGCACTAGTTTAGCTCAGTGAGTGAGCAGGCACCATGTGCCGCATGGCTGCAGGGTAGTGCGAACTGGGCAGGATTAACTGTCACATTTTATTTGTAGTGTGAACACAGCGTGTGTGTGTGGAGATGTTTGACACACCTGCAAGAAGCTATGCCACTAACCAACTCACTGGTCTTCCAGGTTACAGAGAGAGCACCGCCTCTGCAGAGTATAAGTAAACGCCTGGGGTGCCCACATGAGTACAGCACCGGCTTGCTACATTTTAGCAAAAACATAATCAAAAGTTAATAGTTTATAAAATTGAGATGTTATACTTGGAGCTTGTCTGAAAAGTCCTGAGCTCTTGTTCACATGTTCACTGCACCGCAGGGTTCACTATAAAGCTTAACAATTAAAATGTCAAATCAAAGTGCTGCAAGCTGAAATTCTGTATGAAAACAGTATTTTTAATGCAGTATTTAATTAAGCACATTATCATACTTTTCCTCAGGACTCTTTCTTTATGGAAAAGTTAAAAAGTGATCAGTTGTTAAAATAAGATTTGGCTTTAAGAACCATGATTTAGGGGGGAGATGAAGAAATGTCATCCCGGCAATGACTGGGAGGAGGCCCCGGGGCAGACCCAGGACACGCTGGAGAGATTCTATCTGGCGGCTGGTCAGAAAAGCTGGAGGAGGTGGCTTGGAAGGAGGTCTGCGTAGGCTGCTGCCCCCGCAAACTGCCCCCAGATAAGTGGAAGAAGATGGATGAACAAACGGCATTATGATTACGAAGGCTGAACAATTATGGCAAAAATCCTAATCACATTATTTTGGTCATTATTGGTCTCACTTACTTTGCAGACTTTGGGGGAAAGAACACCAGCTGCTTTTATTTGAATTTCTTTCCCTTTAAATTAGGGATGCACCGATACCGGTATCTGGTATCGGCCTCGATACCACATTTTCTAAGGTTACAGTCACAACCGAAAGAGATGGTGGAAGACTTTGGGAAGACCAAGGCCAATTTAAACCAGTTCTGTTCTGGAAGAATTTGCTTTTTTGTGGCAATGGAAAAAGTACAAAGTGTATCAGCTGTACTTGTTCTGCCCTGCAAGAAAGGACATAGGAGACTACTTCTTGATGAAACTTGAATGATTTAATGTTTTCACAATTTTTTTCCATTTTTTAAAAACCTGTTTGCTGTTGCAGTTTTCTTCGCACACAGTTGTAAAGAAAACTGCACCCAGGTAGCCAATTCAGAAGTCTGGCTTACGCAGGAAAACCACTCTGTAACTCCCTACAGTGAGTTAGTGAGAGAAAGATGTTGTACAAACTATGGACCACACCTCACATCTGCTGCATTGTCTTACTGGTTAAATAGTCTCATCAATATATTTGAATATATAATTAGAATCTATCGTATTAAAATAATTGTTACAATACAAATTATATATCACAATGAAAAAGACAATAATAGTAATATTTCAGATGATTTACATTCATATTTGTTTATACACTATTGCTGTTTTACGTTAAAAATAGTACAGTCTTATATTTAAAGTAGATTATGATGTTTAGCAAATGTCGCACTGAGACCCCAAACAGTGTAATTGTTACTGCCAGGCACCAGAAAATGATGTGGCATGTTTGAGGCAGTGCAATAAAGGTAACATTTATTAACAAGGATATTAAAAGAACCAAGGTAAAAACCCTAAACCCTGAAACCCCAAATAAAAGGAATATATGACAAAACTAAACAAAATGCAGCTTCATCTACTCCACTGTACCATTCTTACCAGGTGAGCAATCAACTATAACTAAACATGAAACAAATGATCGATTTTTTTCCCCCAACAAAGCCTTTAAAAACATCAGATTCAGTCCCGTGACCAAGTGACTACTGAAATGCACAACAAACTGATAATAACAAACCACACTGATAATATGTGGGAACTCCTCTAGGTGCCTTCTGTTGGAGAGGCCAAAGATAACAGAGGTTAACAGCCATTAAGTTGTATTTTAATACCAACAAGGCGATTCCCAAAGAGCTATTTGCTACACAGCATGCTGAACTTTTAACAAAATATAAGGAAACTCTACAAGTGGAGAACAAAATGACAAGAGGCAGGCTTAAAAGACGATCTATAACAGATGAAAAGTATCTGACATTGTTATGAGATAGGACACAAATCCAGCAAAGACCTGACACAGGTTCTAAGAGAGCTGCCCCTTCAGTTGATCCATCTACTGTTCAGTGAAGCCTGATCAGGAACTGTCACAATGTGACTGTCAAGGAGTCATTCTTAAGAAAGGGAAATGGAAATGATTACAATTCAAATCATAATTACATCATTTTAATGGAAGTTTCATTTTATTTTATTTTTTAAGCATGAAACTGATAACAATATTATACAGGATTGTTCTTTAATGCTCACCTTGACAGATGAAAGGTAGTCTGTCATGGCAGTTGGCATCCAGCAGCTTAATTTCTTGTTGCTCAGTCAGGATCATCTTTGCACAGTGGTTATTTGAGTCAGCTATGCTTCTGTTCCACTCAGGATAAATGCCTTTGGACTTTGAAATCCACATCCACTCCTTATCTTTGCCAAAAACTGAGCGTTCCAGGCCAATCCACACCCCTCGTTCCAGGTGTGTCTCATTTTGCAGGAGACTTTTCACTTCATCATTCACTGTTTGGTTGGTGATTTCAACCAGGGAGGTGTAGTCTGTCTGGCATTGCTCCAAGGCATCAATCCAACTTTTGTTTTCATGGTAGAACTCCAGGTTTGTAACTTGAGACAAAAAAAGCAAAGTGACATTTAACATGTGCTAACACTACAATAGGCCACAGCTTCCTGCTGTCTCCTTATTTATACAAAGCTCTGCTGACTCAGCCTGATAGTCAGGAATGTTTTGTATAGATTAATATATTGAGTCTACGGCATTATAATATATTAACATATACTAAATATATTAAAATGACTGTTTTCAGGCTGAAATATAAAAAAATTCCACCTGATGTAGCTGTACTCCTTGTAGACACACTAACATTGCAGGGCCTTTGATTTGAACCTGGACATAAGAAGAAAATGTAAAAATGTAAGCTTTAAAAACATATTTCAGTTTTACAAAAGAAAAAAAAATCCTGTTGTAACTATACAGTTTTTAATTATTTTTTTTATTTTTTATTTTTTTAGGAAAGGTGGATTGTGCTGACAAAAGTACTTGCCTGTATCTATACAGTCACTAATATTGTATACTTCATGGACATCTCGAAAATCTATGTTTACTGTTTTTGGAAATCGATTAGACACTGAGATATCAATCTTTTTTCTGTTGATAGAAAATACAGAGCTGTTTAAAAAGCATTGGACAAACATGAGAGAAATTCTATAAGAGATAACACATCTGCATCTTCTGTAGTATTATATTTAAAGAGCTCAGTGCGCAAAAAACATATTTACCCTGAAATACAGTTGGTTGGCTTTTGGCTGAGAGGATTAATGGTAACTCCGCTGTTGCAACTTCCACAAATGTTATCACCATCAGAAACCTTTACACACCCTGCAGAAAACAAAACAAATGAATCCACATGAAGAGGTGTGGCACGTGCCTTTAAAAACTACTGTGTCACTTCAGATTTTGTACTTGCTGAATTAAATAAATGTGAATAAATTGTTACAGCAAGTATACTTTAAAATCCATTTGCTGCAGACACTTCTTGCTTTATTTCAGGAATAAAATTATGTTTAAGCTACTAATATTCTGTCAATGGAAGAATATGCTGTGAAGTTGAGATTTCTTACCAGCTTCTACCTGCACAGTCAAAAGAAAACTGCTGGTTGTGTATGTGATTATAGGACATGTTTTAGAAATCACCCCAGGGTTACTGAGTTTAGTGGCTTCCAGTGTGACTTGGTTAACTTTGGGACCACCGCATTCAAATTTCAAAATCCATTTGCCATCTATGCAGTTGCAATTTTGGTTAATAATGCCTCCAACAGGGCACCGATCACAGGGAGTGATTTTGATTTTTCCATATGCAGAGTTTGGTGTTGAAAAACAGGGCAGCAGGCTCACTGCTGTAACACAGGAAGATCACATCAGGTCTGAGGACAGTTTCCATTTAGGTGTTTGCTAAAGTGATAATTTTCTTCTTCTACAATAAATATAAAATAATTCACAGATGTAAGAAAAATATAAACAAAACATGTACAAAAGTCAGTATTTTTGTAACTATTCTTTTTTCATTGTCCTTTCTTCCATTTTCCTTTTTGCCAAAACGTTCCCATGCCATAGAAAGAGCCAAGCGATGGGATCAGTGCCACTGTCTGTTAGATCTCTCTCCAAGTGCAAATGTATTTATTTATGTACTTTAAAAACATCTTTGTTTTATTATATATAGACACATTTGTTTGTTTAATGCATTGGTAAATAGAATGAAGAACATAAAGAAATAGATAGTGAAATAGAAATGTGTTAAAATGGATCTGCATGGCTAGATCTAACCTATGACCTTTTAAGTAATCTTTTAAATTACAAGTTACTGTTATAACAATAAACATACCTAGCTGCAGTAATGATAGATGAATCACATGTGCCATGGTCTGTAACATGCAAAAAAGTAGAAAATTGAGTAATAATGAATCATCATATCAAGAGTTTATAAAGTTTGTTTTCTAAGTTTAGTAACACTTCAGTACTTACAGTCTTTGCAGAGATCTTTGTTAACTGTAAATATCCAGAGTGTTTGAAGAAACCTCCCCACTGTCCTTTGGCTTGTTGCTCAAATCCAAAATGGAAATTCATGGAAATGTCAACAGGAGTGACTTTGCATCGCTGATTATATCATCATGTAAATGTGTTCTCATCCTCCTCAAATCTAATAATGAGGTTTTTTGTCCCTTAAGGTACTGTGGATGTGCAATATTACAACTGTATTAAGGTGAATCAATCATGACTGATACAGAAGAAGATTTTAATTTTATATCTTGCTTAAGAAAATCCATACAGCAGAAAACAACAGTTTTTTGTTTGTTTTTTGTCATTATGTTAGTTTTAATTGCAGGCATTCCTGTGAACAGTAATCATCATCACCCCATAAATGAATGCACAGCACATTACATTTTGCAGTGGTTGCCCTGAAAGTGTAGTTGTTAAACTATGAGGACTTTAGAAGGACTTCTTCACCACGTTAGCTTAAAGCGAGTTCTAACGCTTCTCTCAGCTCTGAAAATATTTAGATTTTATTTGTTGTTGTTTGTTTCTATTTGTCATTATTATCTGGTCCTTTTATCAGTGTGGTCCCATTTCCAATCAACAGCTTAGTTAACATTAAATTTTCCATGTATTGACTTGAGAAAAATGTCCCTGTTTCCACATTCAGTGGTGTCAGAGGTAGATCGTATGCCTAGTCAAATAGGAAGAAAATATATCCTTATCAGTTTTAATGTTACAAACAAATGTATCACATAACCAGGGTACACTGGAAAAAAGCCTCTTTCATGTTATGAATGACCAGTTCATCCATCACTACATGATTTCTGTTGCTGAACTGACTTAATACAATATGTTTAAATAAATGATGCTGACTTTTGACCTTTAGGGATCTGATAGTTTACTATACTTTACAGAGATGTGAACAGATCTATAAAACAAACTATGTTTAAAATATTCTATTTTTCCCCTCTTGCAAAATTTAAGATCTGTGTCTAAGCTGTTCCATGCACAGTAACATATTACTACTTCATGTTCTAAATCTACTAATAAAATGTACACTCCTTGCAACAATCTCAATGGTAACAATGATAATAAAAACAGAACTGCACTTATAACCTTTATTTCTTCTTTAATAGTGGCCAATATATGCATTTATATTTATTGGAAGCATTTAAAGTATCTGTACTCTGAGTTGGCGGATGGGATTAATATTTTTTCACTTTGTCTGATTCATCCCAAACATGTTCTATCAGGTTGAGGCCAGCATTAAGAGATCCTTTCACTGGAACAAAGGGGCTGAGCCCAACCCCTAAAAAACAACCCTACACTATGATCCACCAAACATTATACTTTGTACAATGCAGTAAGACTAGTACCATTCTCTTTGCAACTGCAAATGGTTGCCTCAGGAAAGGCATCTGATTAAAAGCTCATCGTCAAGAATGAGCCTGCCATAATAGATTGGTGGAGGCACGTCCACCACCAGTGCTGTTGGCCAGCAGGGTGTTGGTGGACACTATGACACGGTTAGCTAAAGACAGATGCAAGGAATAGGGTGAGATGGAGACAGATGATCCACTGTGGTAACCCTTAAAGGGAGCATCCCAAGAGACATATTTTTATCTTTGTATGTCACAGAAATCTTATATACAGTCTGGTGCAACTAAACATGACACAAACAACTAGAGCCTGAACTGGATCAATATCACTTGAAGTATGAGTATTTATTTTGTTGAGCTATTTTAATAAAATTCAGAAAAACAGACTTACAAGTGTACCTATAACTAATAAGTTTCCTTGGTAACTTTGGATAATGGTCTAATTCGATAGAGATGGATAATTTTTTAGTAATTACTGAATTTGAAACTGTTTTCAGAAGCACGTGTCCATAAAAGAAGAAAACCTCACTTGAAGTGTGAGAAGGTTAATTTACAGTAACTTTAACTCATTTTGTGGTGGTTTGTTTCTCTACTAGCTTGTTGGTGGATCTCACACAACACTGTCTCACATTGTGACAGAACAACATGGTGTGTTTCTTACATAAACACACAAATAGGTGTCCACTCTTCTTTTAAACAGTACGAACAGTTTAATAATTATACATTTTAATAAACGTTCTGTTATGGAAATGCATTTTTCTTTAAGTTTTGATTTAACTTCTTTTTTGGTTCTTCTAAATTAACAGATGGTGCAAAGGATGAAAATCTGAAGACTGGTTCATTCACAACAACACAGACGAAACACAATTTATTTTAAAAATCATCGTCCGTTAGGACTTCTTTTTACAGGCATCTTTAATTTTTTTTTTATTGTATAAATGTTGTTAATAAAATAATTTAAATGATCTGGTTTTTGCTATCAGATTGATCTACATGAGAATTTGTTTATCACACAACAACTTCATTTTGATGGTTAATATATTTGTGATTAATGAAAGTTTAACCATGTAATTTCACTGCTAACCTATAAAACCAAGAGTGCCCAACCGCGGCTCTCGTGCTGTTTGTGGTTGTCTTTTTTTAAATGTGCGTGTTTGCTTTGTTTGTGTTTAATCCAGTATTTTCATCAAATACGCCTGTGCATGTGAAAAAATACCGCAAAGTTTTCCAGTAGGGGCAACATCATTTGAGTATTCAAATTATGTCATGCTCGCTCTCAAAACAGCAGGGAAAAAATGCACAGCAAAACAAAAATATGAAGAAGAACACAGAATGTTTTTAACAGAGTGGGAGAGTTTTTGTTGTTGTTGTTGAATGTAATGGCAAGTCATCCTGCCTCATATGCCAGGCGTCATTAGCGCATTCCAAAGCTTCAGATCTTCATTCAGCATCACTTCAGCTCACTCCATGCTAACATCGACCAGGAATTTCCAAAAGGGACTGAACTTCGCAAGCACGAGTTGGTCACTTTGAAAAGTCAGGCAGAAAAGCAGATACAGTTTTTCCAAAAATATACAAAGTGCTCGCTCTGACCTTCAAGCATGTGCTTATTTTAATTTTGCAATGGATGAGAGTTGTGACACACAAAACAAGCCTCATTTGGCAGTAAATGCATGGTCTGTTTCAAATGAGTGTGTGATCAAAGAAGAACTCCTTGATATTGTGCCATTAAAAGACACACCCCGAGCCATATAGGTGAAAGAAACAATGATGGCTGTGTTTGTGAAAAGCAAATCTGCACATACCAAAACTAATGCAATAGATACAGATGGAGCTACTGCAAAAAAAAAGCTATTCATAAAACATAAACTTTTTAAAAAAAAATATGTTTATTAAGATTTTGATATAAATGAAAAAACACAAACGGACAACACACCAGCAAGGACAAAAACACAAATAAGGCAAAAGATTACACTGCAGCAACAAAAATACTACTTCAACACTGACAATAAACAGAAGTAAAAGCTGCGATCGATCAAAGAGAACTTTGTTTTAATACATGATCTAAAAAAGGTTGTCACACATCAAAGAACTTACTAAGTTTGCCCTCTAATGTATACCTAATCCTCTCCCTGTGCAGTAGAGCAGTCAGTTTTCTTAGCCACATTTTGAATTGAGGCACAGTGCCAGACCTCCAGAGAGTCAAAACAATTTTCTTAGCAATTATCATTCTGAACAAAACTGTAGTTTATGCAGCAGGGCGGAGGTGTTAAAGATGAAGAGGAAGACTCAAACAATGCAGTTATTGGGTCCGGCTCTAATGTGCAATTGTACATATCAGAAAAACATTTAAAGATGTCCAGCCAATAGTTGGACAATTTGGGGCAAGTCCAATGAGTAAGAGAGCCTTCTCCAAGTTTACAACGATCACATATAGGACTAAGAGAAGGAAAAATCCTGTGCAATTTAGTTTTTTAGTAATGAAATCTGCGAAGCACTTGGAATTAAATTAACTGAAGCCTTGAATTTATAGAACAAGAACGGATCCTACACAGACTCCTATCACACACCTCATCTCCAATTTGCAAACCCTGCTCCTCCTCCTGTCTTCAAAAAGTCAGATTTACAATTCAAATACTCAGAAAAAGCGTTCACAAAACCAGAAACCAACTTTTCAGAATCCTGGGAACTAAAAATTGACCCCTCTTCCGGAAGAGATGGAAAGTTGAGGACACTCTGACGAACATAGTATCTTATCTGTAAATAAAAGAAAATGTGACGCATGTAATATATAAGTCTTTGAGAGTAAGTATACATTTTTGTGTCTAGACCTCAAATGAGGCATCTAAACATGAGGGTAGAAATGCATGATTCCAATATATTGGAGTATGAATCGAAGTGTCTGGTAGAGCACAACCTTTTTTGATCCGACAGATTTTAACGCAGTTTGAAACTATAAAATTTATTTAAATTATAAAACATAAACTTTTCGGGATGCTGGTTATAAATAATAACAATAATAATAATAATAATAATGATAATTATTATTATTATTATTATTGTCTGTTTAACAGCAGATGCGATGTGTTTTCAGCGGTTTGTACAAAATCTCACTAACGAACTGCAGGGGGTACAGAGTGGTTCCCAATCTGCTACCCTGCTCCATAATCCACAATAATAATAACAGATGTGACCCACAGAAACAGTTGGGAAAACAATCAAAAGATCAAACAGTCTTTTGACCAAGCCAATAAGCTCATAATGACAGACCACACTGATAATATGTGCAAACTGCCCTCTGGCTTTAAAGTGGACAGGCCAAAGACAGCACAGTTACAGGCATAAAATAGTATTTTTGAACCAACAAGGTGATTCCCCAAGAGCTGTTAGCTGGAATGCTAGAAAATCTGGACATGGTGAGCGGTGGTTCCTTAACAATGTTGAAGAAACCAGACAAATGAAGAAAAGAAGTGTCAGGCCCCTACAGCAGCAGATGAACAGTATTGTGTCATTAAGAAATAGCTTTTTGACTCGAGCTTAATGAAGAGCTTTGGATGTCCTTCAAGACGCTTGGAGAACTATTCCTGAAGACTACTTAGAGAAATGACAACAAAGCTTAACTAAGACAGTTACATATAGAGCTGTAGTCAGAAGTTTACATAAACTCACTGGGCATGAATGGTAAGGTAATTTTGTCTTTTTAATGATTTCGTTGATCTGATTTGTACACTTTCCTCCCAGTGTGAATTAGAGAAAGAGAATCCCAATTCATGTTTTTTTAAGTCATTAAAGATGTATGCTATACAATGTTTACACCCTTTCTGGCACATTATTTGACATGTCTCCATGACAACAGTTCAATGTCTAGACCACAGATGCTTTGTTTTTGACTAAAGCACAGGTCCTGCAGTTGTTGATGACTGAATCCAGAGTTTTCCTGGTACTTTGAGTAGAGGTCACGAGGGCCTTCTCCAAGATCTGTAAAAAAAACAACCAAAAAAAAACCCCAAACCGCAATATTAATTAAAAGTTAATAATATCCAAAAATATTCTTTCAGAAGAAGCTTCTGCTTTCAGGCTGTAAGACTAATATTTTACGTTTTTGCATCAGCATCATTATGGCCATGTCTCTTTTTTAAATGGAAAAAAAAAGAAAGAAAAAGAAGCAGAAAACTGATAACAGTATTATACCAGACTGTTCTTTAATGCTCACCTTGACAGATGAAAGGTAGTCTGTCATGGCAGTTGGCATCCAGCAGCTTAATTTCTTGTAGCTCAGTCAGGATCATCTTTGCACAGTGGTTATTTGAGTCAGCTATGCTTCTGTTCCACTCAGGATAAATGTCTTTGGACTTTGAAATCCACATCCACTTCTTATCTTTGCCAAAAACTGAGCGTTCCAGGCCAATCCACACCCCTCGTTGCAGGTGTGTCTCATTTTGCAGGAGACTTTTCACTTCATCATTCACTGTTCGGTTGGTGATTTCAACCAGGGAGGAGTAGTCTGTCTGGCATTGCTCCAAGGCATCAATCCAACTTTTGTTTTCATGGTAGAACTGCAGATTTTTAACTGGAGACAAAAAAATGCAAAGTGACATTTAAGATATGCTAACACTACAACAGGCAGTGTTGGGACTAACGTGTTAAGTAACGCGTTACAGTAACTACGTTATTATTGTGGTAACGAGCACGGTAACTAGTTATTATACCAAAATCAGGAACGTGTTAATCGTTACTGGGATTTAGATAGGCTCGTTATTCGTTACTTTGTGTGGTGGCTATCGCGGAGTTTCCACAGATTCAGCAAAATTAGCAAGTGGTGGAGGCCAGCAGGTGGATGAGGGAAAGGGGAGGCAGGAGGAGCCGGCCGCCGGTCCAAGCGTCAGGTGAACTGAACTTCAGGTAAGAAGTTATGACCTGCAGTCTCTCTGGGTCAGATATAAACCAAGTTTAGGAGTTTATTTTCGTTGTGCTGACTTTTTCGTACTGGGTACTAGCTAGCATGATGGAGTTTCTATACAGCTGGGTGGGTGCTATGAAGTTAATGATGTTGAACTTTATTTTGTTCATAAGGTTAATTATTAGAGTTGCCAGCCGTCCCCTAAAAACGGAATCGTCTCATGGTCAGAGAAAATATTATGCATTTCGTATTGAGGTGAAAAGGAACAGTTTGTCCCGTAATTCAGCTAGAATGAAAAAGACACAAAGCTGGAGTTATTCTGTATTTGCTGCACAGCTGCCTCTTCCCCTTCTCATTCTCTCCCCCTCCCTCACCTGTTTCTGCTTCAATCATGAAACTGATCAATGATCAGCTGATCGGCTTTTCTCTCTTGCTTGTTTATCGCCCACTTCGTGCCAGAAAGAAGAAACCAGCGGATGTCGCGTTAAACAACAGCAGCACGTTTAAGCTTGATCAGCTGTTGTTAGAATTTATTTAATATTAATTTCTAGTATCAGCTGATGTTTGCTGGAGCCACAGCTGTAAAGCTGCTGGTCATGATGTCGGTTTGTATATCTGGTGAGAGGGAAACATGAAGATGAAACCAGGAGATGTCCTTACTGAATCATCAGAGCTGAACAGGTGATGGAGAAACAGGTTTACCTTTTAGGTGACATGAATGAGTTGAAGGGAAGTTATGAACTGTTTCTGAGAGACAAATAACACCAGGATCCTTTTTTTACGTAGCTGACAGCTGGTAACTGTGCAGGGGCGGGTCTAGCAAAGTTTTGCCGGGGTTTTCGTGTTGGATGTAAAAGGCGCACATGACGCTGTGACGTAGGCTAGAATCATGGCAGCAGTCAATGACGGTCCAGGCGTGGGATTTCTCTCGTGGAAATATGCACATTATCTTTTCCTTTCTATTGGTAGGTGGCACAGTGCACTTGTGGCAAGTAAGCAAGCTAGAAGACTGGCAAAGTTATGGAAGAACACATTAACAAGAGAATTCTGAGTAAAACCAAAGTTACTTTCCCTAGTAACTAGTTACTTTGAAAGTAACGAGTAACTTGAAGTAACTGAGTTACTTTTGATAGAAGTAACTAGTAATGTAACTAAGTTACTAATTTAAAGTAACTTACCCAACACTGACAATAGGTCACAGTTTCCTGCTGTCTCCTTATTTATGCAAAGCTCTGCTGACTCACCCTGATAGTCGGGGATGTTTTGTATAGATTAAAGTATTGAGTTTACAGCATTATAATATATTAACATATTATTTTATTCACATATGGTTAAAAGTAAATGACTGCTTTCAGGCTGAAATATAAACATTTCCACCTGATGTACCTGTATTTGTTGTAGCAACATTAACATTGCAGGTCCTTTGATTTGAACCTGCACATAAGAAGAAAAAGTAAAAATGCAGGCTTTAAAAACATATTTCAGTTTTACATAAGAAAAAAAGTCTTGTTGTAACTATACAGTGTGTAAATATACATGTATGTATAAAATTTTTACAGATTCATCTTATGTTGTATTTGTTTTCTTGTTTGTGGAAAAAAAAGTTTATTGTTTTGCACATCAACAATTTACTTTTGTTGTTTGAGAAAGAAAAACTATGTAGCAAATTAAATTCTTAAAGCTGCTCTTTGGAGGAAAGGCTGATCGTGTTGATGAAAGTACTCGCCTGTGTGAGCCTCTATACAGTCGCTAACACGGTGTTGTTGATGAAACCTCTGAAATTTGAGCTTTACTCTGTTTTGGTTTTGCTTAGGAACCGAGATATGTATCTTTTGTCTGTTGAAGAAAACAGAAAGCTGTTTTAAAAGTATGTGGCAAACATGATTTTGCCTATGAGGTACCAATCTGCATCTTCTTCATCATCATATTTAAAAACTGATATAAATATATTTACTTTTTTTTTTTAAAGCTGTTACATTTTGTGCCGGCAGTAGTTGAAGTTCCAGAGCAAGATTCACAAATGATCTTATTGTCACTCGTATGATTTAAATACCCTGGTACATGGAAACAAAACACATGAATGCTCATCTATAAACAATATAATATGCATCAGGTTTTAAAGTTCTTAGATTTCATTTTAAAGTCAGTCAGCCGACTTTAAACCAGCAATAAAATCATTTTTAATGTGTTGTGAATTTTAGATTTCTTACCATTTTCTACCTCCACAGACAAAACAAACATTTTTGTTTTGTATGTGATTTTACGGCATTTATTAGTACAGTCCTCTGTCTCAGTGTAATTGGCTGTGGCAGTTGCTTCCAGTGTGACTTGGTTAGCAGTGGGCCCACAACATTTAAATTTCCATATCCACTTTCCAGCTGTGCAATTGCAATCATGTGTAATATTCCCTCCAACAGGGCACAGATGATAGGGAGTAAATTTGATTCCTCCATCTGGAAAGTCTCGTATGGCTGAAACACAGGGCAGCAGGCTCACTGCTGTAACACAGGAAGATCACATCAGGCCTGAGTACAGTTTGCATTTAGGTGTTGACCTGTACGTTGGAAACATACCTAGTAGTAATGATAGATGAATCAGACGTGCCATGGTCTGTAACATGCAAAAGAAAAAAAAGGTAGAAAATTGAGAAGGAATTGATCGTCACATTAAAAGTTTATAAATAAAACGTTCACCTTCAGTGCTTCCAGTCTTTGCAGAGATGACTGTTAAATATCCAAAGTGTTTGAATAAACCTCCCCACTGTCCTCTGGCTTGCTGTCTTTCTCCAGAATGATAACTCAGAGAAATGTTGGCAGGAGTGACTTTTTATATTGCTCTTTATATTATCATATTTTTGATTAAATAAACACAAATGTGTTCTCAGCTTCCTCAATTGGAATAATGTTGCTTTTCCCCCCTCTAAGGTACTGTGGATGTGCAGCATTACAAACTTAATAAGGTGAATCAACTTGACTGATATAGAAAACATTTTGATTTTAAATGTTGTTTAAATGTTGTTAAAGCAAAAAATCCACAAATTTTTTTTTTGTTACACATTATTATTATATTTGTTTAAATGGAGGTTTTCCTGTGATCAGTAATCGCCTCCAACCTGTTTCATGAATGTGTGACACACTGTAATGTGTGGTCACATCATGTGATTTAATTTTTGTATATCGTATAAGCTTTTAGGTGTAGTTTTGTTAAGGAAGGGCCTTAAGCTTGTGATTTTTGTTGGAGATCCAACATGTGGTGTGATCCCTAGTTACGCCACAAGGGGGCACTTCCGCCCTAGTGAGATGGTTTAGTGTGACGCTACTGCATGTCTTCAGATCTGGCAGAAGCGAGAGAGGAAACACACTACCTGTCGTCCATCTCATGATTTATCTGTTTTTTTCAGGTTAGTAAGCAATAAGGCTACACATGTGGTCCACATAATTTACATGCCAAATAAGGGTAAAACCTGACCAGCAGTTTGTTTTGCTGGGATCTGTATTCGTCTGTTTTGCTCATTGAAATGTGTTACGATCGAGAGTAGGAGCTAGCTTAGCTCGCCACATCCTGGAGTAGCTGTTAGCTTTGCTGTTTTCTAAACTTAAGGCACCCTCTTGTAACAAAAGTACACCACGGCTCCTTTATATTTGAGTTAATGTGTTCGCAGAGACAGTTTGATGTGTTGACACTGTTATTGTCTAAAGTTAGTGTAATAACCTGTAATAATTCTGATCGCTCTGCAATGTTGATGTGGAGATTTCCACTACACAGATACGCCATTAGTACATGGTACAGTACTGGAATGTTTGCTTTATCAAACTATGTGTGAAAAAAAGTGTGATTTATAGCTCTCAGTAACAAACAACAGAGATGACTGTTTAGATTTTTGTTTATACTTTTACTATACTATTTTGGTTTATTCTGATTTCGGGCTTTGGGAATGTGAGACAGAGATGTTAAGAAGTTTTTGCAACCTGTTGTGAACACATGAATGTGTTTAAATAAAGATCTGGCAGAAGCGAGAGAGGAAACACACTACCTGTCATCCATCTCATGATTTATCTGTTTTTTTCAGAACCAGACATAATCTGTCAGCCGCCCTCTTGCCTGGGGCGTGTTACAAATGCACAGCACATTAACTCAGCGTTTGCTCTTAAACTGTAGTTGTTAAAATCTGAAGGCTTGCCTAGTCAAACAGGAAGCAAATATATCCTGATCAGTGTTTATTTTGATCTTATAAACAAATTGGGTATGTAACCAAGGTTTACTGACAAAAGTCTCCTTTATGTCATCAGGTACAGAAACTGGTAATAAATAACCAGTTCATTCACCACCACACGATTTCTGCTGCTGCATTAACCCTCATCTTAATACTTTCAATAACTGACACTGACTTTTCACCTTAAGGAAATCGATATAGTCCCCATTCTATACAGCGATCGAAACAGATCCATAAAACAAACAATTTCAAATATAGTATTGTTTTTCCTCTTGCATGATTTTGACCTGTGCCTACACTGTTGTAAAGTTTTAAGTACACTCAGTACAACAACCCGGATGGTAATTGGACATGTGTAATGACAATACAGTTGAATCCTAATCCTTTATTATGTCGGCCCATAGCTATAACATCTTCAACTCTTCTGGGAAGGATTTCTGAAGGGTTTAAGAGTGTTCATGTTAATTTCTGATCATGCAAGCAATTGTGAGGTCAGACACTGATAATGGACAAGAAGGCAATCCACCCCAAAGGTGTTCAGGTCGAGGGTCAGGACTCTGTGTAGACCAGTCAAGTTTGTGCACTAGTGTGCAGTCATGTTGGAACAGGAAGGAGCCATCCCCACGCTGTTTCCACAAAGTTGGCAGCATGAAATTGTCCAAAACGTTTTGGTATGCTGAAACATAAATTCTTTCTTACCCACGATACAGTCAGAACAAAACCCAGACTCATTGATCAGATTGCCAGTTGGAGAAACATGATTCATCACTCCAGAGAACACATTTCCATTGCTCTAGAGTCCATTGGCAGTGTGCTTTACACCACTTTATCTGACATTTTGCATTGCACTTGGTGACATAAGGCTTGGATGCAGCTGCTTGGCCATGGAAACCCATTTCATGATGCTCTCTATGCGCTAATCGGAAGGTCGGGTAAATACTTTGATGTTTGGTAAAAGTTTGTGATGGTGAGTTTGAAGTGTTACTAAAAACAAACAGCTGGACGAATAGTTTGCAACACATTAGTTTAACTGACAACAACATGGTAACATTCTTGGGCATAAAAAGGACAGGTGGACAGATTTCACCCTAGGTGTGTGAATGGTGTCTGTGACAGATTGGTATACCCCACTATCTCTTGAATCAAGATATAGCTGAAATAAACACAGTTTGCATTTTGTTAACTTTACATTTTATTATTAGCACAGAATTAATATTCTTTAGTTTTTTGTTTGAGAGAAAAAGAAAATGTTATTTCTTATAACCGCTCAGTTAAATTAGTCAGATATTTAGGTTTTTAATGACAAAAATAATACATCGACTCTTTACATAGAAGCATCTTTGACAAACACAGGTACTTCTGAGAAGTGGTGGGTAAACGGTTAATTTAACAAGGCTTGCAAATGATAGTAACCAAAGTAGTTTTCCTGTGAAACACAACAGCTACAGCTACAGCATACAAACATACAAACAGCATATATACTGTTATGAGTTCAAATATTGGGGATGGAGACAAGAGAAAAAACCACAATAACAACACTGGTCCGGCCGGGTTAAGTCAAACGATGATTTTAATAGTCACACGCGTGGGAGATGGACACCGTATGCAGACAGCCTCAGATCTCAAAATGGTGGAGCATTAATCAAACTCTTATAGCGTCTGGTGCCCCCACCTTATCATAAAAGCCTAAACATTCACATGCTTTTCTCTCACACAGCGCCTAAGCTACGACCTTGGCTCCCCGTTTTATCTGCTCCTGCTGAGATGGGGCAGAAAACTCCAGCATGCTCTGTTCTCTTCTAATCAGACAAATAAGGCGATGACTCTCTGCAAACAGTATTTCTTATAACATCATAAAACAATATCATTCATCCACAATAAATCAGCAGTCTGATGTAATGCAAATCAGTTTAACTAATGCAATAGTTATCAGCTTCTTCTAATTCAGTAGAATAATGCAAACTAAAACTACATAATAATTCACAATCTTTAATTAGGGGTATAACATGGCATAAAATAATATTATAATCTAACAATACACATTGGGTTTGCTGGGTCATCCATCTGCTTCTCCAGGAATCTCACCTTGATGTGATGATGATTGAGACGCTGCGAATCGTTTTCTTTGGTGCTATCAGTTCAGTCAATGTCAATGAAAAGCTCTGTGGCCCAAAACACAAATATTAATTCAAAAATATATAAAAAGCAGAGTGGAATGGCTTCATTTTAAACTTCCCATTGACCTTTATACATCTACTTATATGTAAATATTGCAGCTTACAGTGACATGTGTCACACAGATAAAAAAAAAGATGCAGAATATAAAGTAAAACGTCAATTTATGTCTACGGGCTAGAAAACATTTTGGTAGATATACCTGACTTCTCTGTATATTCATCAGTACAGGGCTTTTCATTCATTCCTGGAGAAAAAGAAAAAAGAAAAACAATAAGATTTAATAAAAACCAGGTGAAGAAGTCTGACTGGACAACAAAACAGCAACTTACTTTGACAAATGTATGGTAATTTTTCATGGCAGTCGGCATTGGACCACTTGATTTCTTCTGTCTTATTATCAAAGATGACTTTTCCACAGTGGTTGTCAAAGTCAGAGTTGGTGGACGAAGTTCTATTCAACTGTGATTTTACAACATTATACCCTGAAATCCACTTCCACTCAGGTCTGTAGCCAAAAATGGACCTTTGCAGTCCAATCCACACCCCCGTCTTTGAGTCTGTTTTATTTTGCAGTCTTTTCACATCATCCCTTACTTTCTTTTCGCAGATTTCAACCAGGGAGAAATGATCCCTCTGGCAGTCCTCCAAGGCATCAATCCAACTTTTACTTTTGTTGTGTAGACTGACTGGACACAAAAATCGAGAGTAGGTTTTAAAAATGTAATGCACACATATTGTACATAAACTCCATGTCATTATGTTAAATTAAATGCAGTCTTTAAGCAATTTTACTGTGTTGGGTAGAGCTTACTGTTAGCAGCAGGGTACTCAGCACATTGAAATTTAATCTTTACTTTCATGCCATTCTTTGATGTCATGTTAAAGCAGATATTTCCATTCCTTTTGTGGAGGAAAATATACAGGTGATTTATTGAAAGCATGTGTGGCACCAAATATACTGAATCTTTGTATTCAGTAATTGAGTACACATGAAACATACTGTTGTGTAAGATTAACAGCTGTTTTGTTGAAAGTGACATTTGGGTGGCATTCAGGCTGAGTGTAGTTTTCCTTACAAACTGTATCGTTTACAGAGACCTTTATAATTCCTGATACACAAAACCAACATATAAAGATTCATCAGAGAAAATAACACTGCATGTGTGCTTAAAGTATTTCTTAAAGAATGTACTGGTTTGCAGTGCTTACCATTTTCTACCGCTAGAGAGGAATTCAAACACTTTCGCTCTCTGTAATTGGTGCCAGGACATGTTCCTGAGCTGTACATCGAGTACATCGAGTCCAACGAGTCCAATTTTTGAGCCACAATTTTCAGTGTGAATTGTTTTCTGTTGCTCATACAACATTCAAGTTTCCAAGTTAAATTGCCAATTTCTAAATCTCCTGCATTTGGGCACACATAGGAAGAGAAAACAAAGTGCAGCTGGACTGTTGCTGTAACAGAATAAGACCAGATCAACAGTTTAAGTATCATTTAGTCATTTGGTTTTTTTGCATTACTGTTATCTAAAGAAATTTAGAATTTAAAGAAAGGTGACTGGACTTCTTAAAGATGTTTCAGCTGAAGAACTTCTCAGGTAAGAGGTGAAAGTCTACAAGAAACTTTAAAAAGTCCAGTTGCTTTTCTTTCCAAACTCCTTAGACCTGAGAACCTGCACAGACACATTACTGTTCATCTTTAAAAAACGTACTGATATATATGTAGTATATTTATGTATATGCAAAAATGTAAATACAAAAAAAGTGCATTATTTTTACATTTCTAATTATTTAAATTTTAAAGGCAAATATGTTTTTGTGTTATTTTCTTCAAGACCATGCAAAAAATTTGAATTTCTTTACTCTTTTTGAATATAGACTGTAATGTTCCGTTCACGTTACTCTTCATGCTTTTTAAATGTTTGCACCACTTTAACTAAATGCTGTAAGCTCCATAACAACAGGAAATATTTGTTTATTTATTAATTTTAGAATCTAGGTACATCATATTCAGTGATGGGAATAACAGCGTTACAAGTAACGGCGTTACTAACGGCGTTACTTTTTTCAGTAACGAGTAATCTAACTAATTACTATTCCTATCGTTACAACGCCGTTACAGTTACTAACAAGAACATGCGGTCCGTTACTATTTTTCAACAAACAGACTGTTGAAGCTGTGTTCATCTTACCACATCTTATATCAGTTGCACGGAAGTAGCTGACTACATAAGTAATCTGGACGCTACAGCTTTAAGCAGCTGCGCGCGCTCCCGCGGACGGTAATCACGATCACTTTCTAGCACAACACCTGGAGCTAAGGGGCAAAACAATCGCATGAGTGCTGCTGTTTGACTGAGGAAGAATAAAGTAGTGTGGTAAGCCAATCACATGACCACTTAAAGACAAAGCAACAAGGTGATATATACCAGTTTTTAAATTGTGTTGATAGGCCACGTAAAACCAGAGTCATGATAAACAATATATACGTTTTTTCCTCAATAGTTTCGTCACGTTTACTGTCTAAGGACAGCAAGCACTCTCTGCTTATGACAAAAAAAAAAAAACAAACAAAAGAACTGGGGACGTTTTAGGAGTGACGAGAGAGAGAGAGCGAGTTTTGAGATGTGAGAGATTTGTGACGTTTAGCGTGTTTGGAGTGTGTAGTTAATGTGTTGTCTTGTGTAGTTAGTGTGTAGTGTTGTGGATAGTTTTGTGTTGTGTGTCAGAACAATGAGGCGACTCCTGTCTCCGGGTAGAAACATGAGTGATACACCTGCTGCTGTCAGACCTGCAGGTATCAGGCTGTGATGTTCTCCTTTATAGTGGACAGAAATTATTTTTTTGGAGTGGCACAAATAATTTGTGTGGCATCTTATATAATGCAGAACAGCTGATTGTTCTGTAAATAGTTTGAAATGGTTATTTTTAAAAAAAGGTAAAAGATAAATGGCTGCAAATAACTGTTGTTTGCAAAACTTGTGCATAGTATTTTAAAATTGACAATTTATATTTGCATTTAAAGTTATGAAATATGATTCATTAAACATGTTTGTGGTTGTTACAGTAAAAAATATAACTTTTTCTACTCTGGTTTTATGTTTTTTGTCTGATTTTAGATCAATTGTGTTAATACAGTATGTCAAAATGAAAACATAACTGTAATTTCAGACACGTGAGGTTGTGCTGAAAAGAATGATACCAAACAAGGCAAATAAACTGTTTTTAAAGGTGAAATGTGGAGGGAAAATCAAAAGTAGTTAAAAATGGCCAATTATACCCTGGACCCCAGAGGGTTAAACGTTTTTTTAAAGTAACGCAATAGTTACTTTTCCAGTAATTAATTACTTTTAGAATATTGTAACTCAGTTACTAACTCAGTTACTTTTTTGAAGACGTAACTAGTAACTATAATTAATTACTTTTTCAAAGTAATTTGCCCAACACTGATCATATTTAACATTTATAACAATGATCATTCACCAAAAAACATACCTAAAAGTAATGAAAGAGGGCTCAGCAATTCCATGGCCTGTAAATACAAAAGTCAAAATAAAAACCCAACAACAACAAAAAAAAACAGAAAAAGTTGCACACATGGGATTTTATGCAAAATAATATACGGTTAATATTGGTACATCAAAATCCAACATGACAATATGCACTTTGAATAGGGCAGTATAGTACTTTGGTAGTCAAATTGTGACAGATACCACTGACAAACAAAGGCTTGTCTGTGCAGTTCTCTTCTGATGAAATACACAAACTTCTGCCAATGAACTCACATGAACTTGACCTTTAACTCGAGACTATCAGAGAAGTTATTCTTACTAAAAAAAGGCTCATGAAGGCTATCCCTGTGGACCTTTACACAGAAATATTAAAGTGTTTAATAATTAATAATAATAAACATTTAATCATTCTACGAGTTCTTTTTGTGTTAATTTTAGAAGGAAGTTCTTAGGATTTACACATTCTGGTAATTAGTAATCTAATTTCCACTTACCTTCTCAGTGAAAACTTGCTGTTGGTCTCTGAAATATAACAGAGCTTTAGACTGGGAAATGTAAACTTGTGTCTCTGTATGGAGATATTAAACTCATCCCTGTTTTGACTATACAAACACGCCCACCAACACACCATGCAGGGCTAGGATCTTATTAACACTGGGGGCCTCGCCCAGCCTTTTTTTTTTCTAATTTGTCCAGCTCTGGTCTCATAGCTTCTGCCTCTGTTGCACCTTCTAAATTGATAATCTGTCTTCTTCTTCTTCTTCTTCAACTTCCCTGCTGTTATTTTTACTCTGAAATCTTAAGCTTGATTTACTTTGTAAGGACATAGTAACCCGAGATTCTTTAGTAGAAGTCACGAGAGTTTCAGAGTAACAGACAATTGGCGTCACACAGTAACCATGGTTACGCACTGTCACGCGCACCTGTGCAAACAGTCTGAGAGAGACTGTGCTGTTGTTTAATAACAGACATCACTCTGAGCATTATGCATGATTTCATCTTTACATGTTGAACTTGTTGGCATTTTTCACTACCCACCAGCGTAAACTAAGAATACAAATATTTACAATGGTTTGTGTGTAACCTTTGAGGACTCACAGTGTGTCGACTGAAGAAGGCATTCTGTCCACGCACAGACACAAAGCAATTTGAGCACACACTTAAAACTATTTTACAAATGCATACATCCAAACCTGAGCACACACTGTGCACACAAATGTCTAAAAGTACACGCAACTGCCTTCTCGCTCCCTTACAAAACCTTAAATGTGTGGACGAATCGTCTGATACGCACCGATCATGTTGCATGCCCACGTGGGGTTTTGAGGCAAATTTAACGCTGTCACTCAGGGGTGGGCAACTCCAGGGCTCGAGGGCCAGTGTCCTGCAGGTTTTAGATATCACCCTGGGTCAACACACCTGAATCAAACGATTAGTTCATCACCAGGCCTCTCGAGAATTTCAGGACATGTTGAGGAGGTAATTTAGCCATTTCAATCTGTTGTGTTGGATCAAGGACACATCTAAAATCTGCAGGACACCGGCCCTCGAGGCCTAGAGTTGCCCACCCTGGCACATATCATCTGCAAATGTAAGCTGCGATCATGTCACAGTGTAAAACTGGGACATCTGGGCCTCCAATGCCTAACTATTAGTTAGCTTATACTCACTCCAGAGTCTGATTCACAGCCACGCTGAGCACTGGCTGACTTTTCCTAGCATCTAGCAGCAGATTATTTAAACTGTATACTAACGTTTATAGGCTACTGTATAGTTTCTCTAATTGGTAAATCACATTTTCTAGTTGATTTAGAAAAAGACACGTCCACGTCCCCAAAACAAGACAAAACGTTTGTGTGCACAGAAAGGTTTTTCAAAGAAAAAGAATATCTGATTCGTAAAGCTAAACAAATTGCCTTGTATTTGTGTGTGGATTGAGGCACGCACTCAAAGGTTATACACAAATGATTGTACATATTTGTAAATCTTAGTTTATGCTTGTGGATCATATCGTAGGTTTTGCAACCCTTTTGAGGCAACTTTCCCTCCATAAGTCTATGCTGCAACAGTAACAGGAGACAGCTCCTCTGTTGAAGTGCTTTAGTTATAATAAGAGGCATTCAAACAAGTAGACATCTTAAATGTTTTTGTACATTCAAAGAGTAAGTAGAGTAATGTTTATTTATATACCACTTTAAGATACGAACGAGTCACAAATTGCTTTACAGAGGTAATAAAAATGTGGTCAAAATGGACACACCCGAATTACGTAAAGCAACACAAATCACAAAAAATTACTCAAATGCCTTTCTAAATACATTAATTCACAGCTATTTTTTAAAGGATGCCACAGTGTTGATGGGCCAAAGACAGAGGGGTAAGTTGTTCTGCATTTTTAGTTTCAAAAGGTTTCGATCTCTGGACCTCAGGATTTGGTTTGAAGAATAGGTGTCGAGTAGACCGGAGACATATAAGTGGGATCCTCTCCTCCTAAGGCCATAAAAGAAAGAATGAAGATTTTGAACTGATATGTAAATCTAACAGTAAAGCCAGTGCAGACACTTTAATAATGGAGTGATATGAGAGAATTTATGAGTGGGATAAAAGCCTTACAGCAGCATTTTTGGCAGATTGGAGTTGATTAATAGATGATTTAGACAGACAATACCATAGAGCACTGTAATAATCTAAGTGGGAGGAGATGAAAGGATGAACAAGCATCACCATTTTTGAAAAAAATAAAATAAAAAAACACATGGCAAAAATAAACCGTACAATAACATTAGGGTGTTAGACTGACCATCTCACAGACATTCTGAGTTAATGTGTAAATTCACATTGTTGCACTTTAAAGTCTCTTAACTATTAATCCACTACATCAACTGCTTTGCAGCACAGCTGCTGAAGTCACATGTTACAGGCCTGAATGCATTTTCCTTTTAACGAATTCTTATTTTATGAGGTTTGACCCTATTCAAACAACATCTGGGACTCGAGAGCAAAAGATTGAAAATACTCTGAATATATATTTTAGGTGTAACTGAAACCACTGATGAAGCATATTTTTTTCCATGATGATATATTATATTTGTTTCACAGGATCCAAAGACTCGAACCTATTTGTCATCTATTTATAACTAATGTGTTTCCAGTCATTGTTCTATAATTAGTCTTTATTTCCAGGAAAGCTTTCATTACAATTACTTGACATGTTTTTTTGTTTTTCGCAAAGAAAAGGAAACACATCAGCTTCCACCTCATGCAAACCTAAACCCGGAAAATAATCGCGCGCCCCCCCCCCCCTCGCGCGCATGCGCACACGCACGCACTAACACATCCTCCAACCACACACACCCATATTTTGCTCCATTGCGGTTTATTTCACACCTCAAACATTTAGTAAACAATTACGCAAATACAAGTAATCTGCAATAAATTACATTTAGTAAGAAAATAAACTACTAACTCTTATACGCTACGTCCACACCTACACGGGTATTTCTGAAAACGCAGCTGTTTCGTCCACACGTAAACGGCGTTTCGAATCACCGAAAACTGAGATTTTTTAAAACTCAGTTTTTGCGTTTACGTGTGGACGAGGAATACAGAATTCATCACGCAATGTCAAAGGTATGTGCCTTTTTTCACGTCACGCTGTGCGCCACGTTATTGTTTACATGAGATGAATTGCAGAATAGCAGGTAGAGACAAAATACTGTTAATCTGACAATCTGCAGGTTTTACACGCTTACATACACACATGCAGCTACTGTTCCTTTATTTAGAAAGGCAGAGGCATCACGGTGTGATTATTTTACGTGTAGTTGTTTTTTTCTGGTGTAATAATATTCAACATTGCTATCAATACATTTTTCAATCCCTCTGCAAAATAGGTTCAAAAACATAAACAACTGTGGGATGCTGTTTGTCCGTGACTTGAACCGGGGGGACAAATCGTGGCCTGATGTCATTTGTATCCCGCTGTATCTTTACTGTATAAAGCGCTAACATCTCCAAAATGTCAGGAGTAGTTTAGTCATTACAACAAGTGTTTGTGAACTAAAAATCAAGAATGTGGGATACTGTTTGTCCGTGAATTGAAGAGCCCAGCGCTGCTCCCGACGCAGGGAAAACCAATTCTGCAGGGGAGACCTACCTCGGCACTTGTGCAGGTGAAGCCAAAGGGAAGATGCTTCACCATATTTTCTAGTCTTTGGCTTAGAATGAAGTTGGTTTGGAAACATATTCAGCGATGCTTCATCTCCTGATTTGCGTTTGTGGAGGCGCCCCATGCTAGCAGTGTCCAAGCATTGTTTTTTGTTTTGTTTTGTTTTTTCCTTTTCATACTGCGCCTCCCTTGCAATGGCTCTGTGCCCCCCTTAGGGGGCGGGCCCCACACTTTGGGAAGGTCTGGTGTAGAGTATGGTGAGGAGGCTCTGAAGAAAGTTGAGCAAATGGAGGCTGATCTTGGAGGAACAGAGATCCTGGAGCCCCTCAAACATATTTACAGCCAACCCTGCATTACACACACACACACACACACACACACACACACACACACACACACACACTTTAATGATGTCATTCTTTAGTCCTTCCTTTTTTTCTTATTCATTACTCCAACATGTAAGTTGACCATGAATCAAGCCCTGTATCAGTCTCATATAATCTGCTAATTATACATGAGTTGATCTGTTGAGTGCCTCCTACTGTTCCTCTCACTCTTGCTTTTTTTAACTTGTTAAAACACTTTACTGACAGCATACATACATGAAAAACTGTGTGTAAACTCTCCTCTCCAGCTGTTTGTCTTTACTGATGCAGAGGTGGGAAACACCAAAGAAGTGATCAATCTGGTGAAGAAGAACTAATGTCCTCTGTGTACTCAGCAAAAACTGTTGTATTGCAGGTGTTTCTCTTTTGGGATTGGGGAAGGGGCCAGCTCTGCTCTCATCAATGGGATGGCCAAGGAAGGAGGAGGTCACGCTCAGTTCATCACAGGGACTGACAGGATGCAACCAAAAGTAAGACA